GTGTACTTCGTTCAGTTACGTATTGCTCATTGCTCTAATAAAAACCACACGTTTCATTGTAAAGTTCGGAGATACAGGCACCTTTATGTTTGTAAGCGTGATGCTATATGAGAAGTGGTCTTTGTTCATTGCCATGTAGCTAGACCTTGGAGAGCCAAAGATGCAGAAGGACCTCTTTGAGCAACTCAGCTAAAAGTCAGGACTTCAGGAACAATGCATGACAGGTACGCAACCCTCATTTCATGTCATACATTGGCAGCTAATAACCACTTTTGTGCAGGCCCGCTTTTGTGCATTCTATTGTAGGTGGACGATGCTCCTGCTCTAGACGATTATCATTTCCATGATTAAAGTAAGGAAGTTGATCGAGCTGATTTGGTTGGAATTACGCTCACACAAGGTTTCATCGGTTGAGCTACATCGAGCGTGCTTTATGTCAGGTGATGTAATCTCTCTTTGACCGCAGCTCAGTCAAATCAGCTCGGATCAACCTACTTCAATCATGGAAATGAATGTCTAGAGCGAAGGCATCGTCCGCATGCGGTGGATCTCGCAACAATGATGATTGGATAAAAGTGGCCGTTAGCTAGCAATACATGCCTGTTCCTAGATGATCCATAAAGTAATTATACATTGACCCTTTCATTCATGCAAACGTAGCTGTGTTACACAACACGACCCTCTGCATCTTTTGCTCTGTCAGGGTCCACCTACTTTACAATGAACAAAGACCACTCTTCCTATAGCATCACGCTTACAAACATAAAGGTGCCTGTATCTCCGCTTACAATGAAACGTGGGGTTTATTAGAGCAATGGGCTCGGCTTGGCCAACAGCATCTTGTGTGAAAGTTTCGCGTTCAATGTCGCAAACAGCCCAAAAAATATTTTTGGTCGTCGTCGTCGAAGAGGTCGACCCCGGATCCAGTTTGGCTGGTGGCGACAGCCGAAATCTGGGATTGGCCACGATGAACGTAAAACTTTCACACAAGGTGCTGTTGGCCAAGCCGAGCCCATTGCTCTAATAAAAACCCCACGTTTCATTGTAAAGTTTGGAGATACAGGCACCTTTATGTTACATATGCGCAGCGTGATGCTATATGAAAAGAGTTCTTTGTTCATTGTCAAGTAGTATGACTATAGCCAAAGATGCAGAGGGCGTGTTTGTGTAACTTTCAGTCAACATAGGCGATGCATGGTACATGATACTTGTACACTATCACGAATACGTAGTTCCAAATGCCAACCAATAACCCAGTCCTCCCTTTCTCCATTGTTGCCCAATCCAATGCATACGAACGCTTGTCCTGCTCCAGCTCATCATTTCCATCATTGAACTTTCTTGATCCGAGTGGATTTGACTGAACAACGCTCAAACACAGAAACATCATCCAATATCAGAAGAATCAAATGGGTAAGTTATTTGTAACCTGCCGGCTAACAGCCCATTCCTCCCATTCACCTTTGTTGCCCAAAACAACGGATGTGAACGATTGTCCTGCTCCAGACCATCATGCTCATCATTCAACTTTCTTGATCCGAGGGGATTTGACTGAACAACGCTCAAACACAGAAGTATCATCTAATATGAGAAAAATCATTTTGCAAAGTTATTTGTAAGCTGCCAGTTAATAGCCCACTCCTCCCATTCACCTTTGTTGTCCAGTCCAATGCATACGAACGATTGTCTTGCTCCAGCCCCGCATGCCCATCATTTAACTTTCATGATCCGAGGGATTTGACTGAACAGCAGCTCCGAATAAAGAAGTATCATTCAAGGCATCAGGAAAATCTATTTGACTTCCACTCCTTCCACTCCCAACTTTATTTTCTCTTCCTCCCATTCTCAACTGTTGGCCCCATTCAAGTATACAACTACCACCTGCGAACGATTGTCCTATTTCAACCCATCATGTCAACCCTACAACTGTCGCGATCCGATTGTCGTTGACTGAATGGCAAGTTCATGGGCGTGTGCACTCCACTACAACACACCAGTCTCTTGACACTTCACGTTCTCTTGCACGCTCCTCTACCACAACCAATCGTAACAGCGTTCATTCCAGCAGTTACAACTAGCAAGGCCTTGCTTCAATGTCTCAATCAACGTCCCTTACTTGCAGCAACTTGTCTTACAGCGTTTTCACGTGGACAGCAGATTAGCCGCATTGTATAGAAGCAGCTTTATTTACGTGTAGCAACTTGTTTCAATACAATCGAATTCCTATGATGGATATGGATATGGGTACGGATATGGATACATGGAATGGAAGGATCTGGGTATGTGCAATGCGTGGAAAAAGAGCGTTGCTAACTTGACCATTAAGCTTGGTGCTACAGTATCATTCTGAACGATTGGGTGCATGCAATTATCGTACTTTACATCCACACGCAGCAGCTACTATCGTCATCCTTTGTGCAACCTGTCAATCATGTGCAGCCGTCATCATCCAAATTTATGATTTGACAAGCCATGCACCATATAATTCGCCATCCTGCACCTTTACACAATGCCCGCCCAAAGGATAGATATCTTCCTCCCCCACATTGGAGCAACTCGTTGTACCTCTCAAGTTATCTCTTATGAATGATGATGGATTAAAGGGTTACTTTTACGAATACGAGTTTGTGTTGTCAACCATTTCTAAGTTACTACAGCGTAAAAGATCATCTTCTAGAGTTGGACCTCGTTGTGTAATATGGGGATTAGATGCATTGTATCATAGAAACCACATTTATTATGGCATAGCAAACGCAGGATTGGAGAGGAAGAGGAGAAAGGGTCCGGTTGATTCATTGTATCTTGAACAAAGGCTGCATTGATAATAAAGGATGCGAATACAGATCTTTGCTTGGACAAAACGTAAGACGATCAGAAGTAAGCTTATGATTGACCAGACAACATTTTCTATTACAACCCTTACAACATCGCTGCAAATCCCGTATTGACAATAAGATGCTAGTACATGTCTTGTTTTTATTTGAAGAGAAACCGAAAAATCCTTAGATCTTAGAATCATTTGAGTTGAGTGATACTACGACCTTTCCAAGGTTCTTTCCTGACTGCAGGTATTCAACGGCATCCACAATTTGCTCAATGCCTTTCAATCCACCATTATCCAGCTCGACCTTGAGTTTGCCTTGGTTGATCAACTCGATTAGTCTCGTCATATGCTCGCCCCAAAGTTCTTGGTAATCAGGCAAGAAGAAACCAGCAACTGTACGAGAGCGACCAAGCAAATGGATGGTGCTCAGCTGATCACCAGCCATACCACCCTTGCTTGAATATGTAGCCATCATGCCAATGACGATCAAACGACCCTTTGTAGCGAGACTAGTATTCAACGAAAACCCAAATTAGGATATGTCTTTACATTGATGGCTATCCATTTAATTACCTCTTCAAGCAAATGTCAAAGAATTTGCCACCAACACTTTCAAAAATAATATCGATACCCTTTGGATATTCCTTTCTTAGAACGGTCTTGAAATCCTCCTTCTTGTAATTGATAACCCTGTCACAGCCGAGGTCCTTATATAAATAAACTCGTGAGCCATATGGAGAATTGCCATATAAATATCCTCGTCTTTACCTTCAACATGGCCACCTTGTCATCGCTGCTGCAAGTACCAATCACGTGATTACCAGCAAGCTTGGCCAATTGAACAGCGAATTGACCGGCACCTCCAGCTGCAGCTGTCACCAACACAGTCTCTCCCGAAGTCATTCTACCGGTTTGCTCCAAAGCAAGCGATGAAGTAAGACCTGATGTTTGTAGTGCAAGAAGTTCGGGGCGAGCATTCTAGATAATCGATTTGGTATCAGGCTATCGTGTACCATTTATGCTCATGCAACAATATACTTACAGGGACCGTAGCAAGAGCACGTGGTGATGCGATAAGGTATTCAGCAAAGGCACCGTATTGTCTATACGAGATGTTCAGTAACACTAGTAGCCATTATCCCTTTGTTTGGATACTTACGCAACCAACACATAGGATCCAATCTTATCCTTGGTAACCTTATTTCCAACAGCAACGATTTGTCCAAGGGCTTCGAATCCAACATCGAAAGGACTAGATAAGAGAGATAGAGCTTAATGATCATGACACCTTATTGACATTTGCGTGTACTTACGGCTTGATACCGGGTATATATTTGCCGTTGGTGAAGTTGACGTCTGAAGCGTTGATACCCCAGTGCAGTGTCTTGACAATGACTTGATGCGGCTTGAGCTTTGCAAGGAGATCGTCGTAGCTGACAGTGACGAGGCGTGTCACCTTACGAAAGTCATTACCAATCTCGATTGCTTGGTATTTCTTGAAGGTGGTTGGTTGGCTTGCATTTGAAGCATTGAATGAGAAAAAGAGTCATATCACGTAGTTCTTGTTGCACCATTTACCTCATGTTCAAAAGTTTGGGAAGGAGAAGGCGTTATCACCAGTGAACCGGCGACGTCTTAATAACATAAAGAAGTGCATTTATAAGCATAATTCACAAAGTCCGAGGATGAGAACATTTACATCCTCCCTCGGCATTCTCGGTACCACATTGGTTGTTGCATATCTGATTATTCATGCTGTACTTATCTTGCCCTTTATACTGGATCCATACCTTTGTTCTAATATTAAAGTACACAATGACTACGTGCCTCTTTATATAAAAACCTCCTTGCTGATTCTTTTATACTAAGCATGAACCCTCTTTTCCATATGCCTTTTGCATTGATTCCTCGATACTTTTTGATCTCAGTGGTGTTAAATTGATTTATAGTATAAAGACACAAAAGCATACATGTGTTACTACCAGGATAGATAGGTATCCTTTGGGGGCAAGGCTTATGCTTCTCTCTGAATACAAATAGCTGACAATGAACCATCAATGTGTCACGTGATAGAAAATCCCCGCCCCTTTTTTGGTGCAGGGTCGGCGACACAAGGCTGTCCGTATTGTTTAGCTCTTTGCTGTCAAAATGTTCAGACGGGCCATTCAATCGCGGCAATTGGGCGCCTTACCTCGAAGCATACACAATGCCTTGTATTCAACTACTGTACATACTCGAAATGTTGTCGAGGAAATGACCGATCGAGGCCTTCTTGCACAAATCACAAGGTAAGGAATATACACAACACCATATATAAAGAAGCATACCCTAATAGATACTTTATTGTACGTTCAGTCCGGATCTTTTGCGTCGAACACAGTCATCGACGGGCATCTACTGTGGAGTGGATCCAACAGCAAAGAGCTTGCATCTTGGTAACCTTGTCACTCTTATGGGATTACTGCATTTTGGTATCCATGGACACCAAGCGATTGCACTAGTAAGTAGCCTAGGAGATTGAATGAATCGTATCTTGAAACTAATGTAAAATGCAAAAAGGTTGGTGGTGCAACAGGCAGCATTGGAGATCCTTCAGGCCGAAAATCGGAACGCGTGCCATTGACTAGAGATGTATTGGAGCAGAATGTCGCTGGCATTGAAAGGCAAATCCACCGATTCTTTGAAAATGGAACGACCTATGCCGCTCGACATGGATATCCTTCAGCTACCAAACCACCCAAAGTGCTCAACAATTATGATTGGTTCAGTGGAATGAGTGCTCTCGAGTTCCTCGGTGACGTTGGACGTTATGCACGTGTCAATACGATGTTAGGAAAAGAAAGGTAGACATTTCACTTGCATCAAAACCACCCGAGAATTAGCGTCACTTATTGGCTGGATCAAGTGTCAAGAGTCGAATCGAAAGTACACAAGGCATTAGCTTCACCGAATTCTCGTACCAGCTGCTTCAAGCTTATGACTTTTGGTACCTGTATCAAAACCATGAATGCCGAGTACAGGTAAGGTTGAGTTAGTACTTTAGAGTATGCTGTAATTAAGCCATTGAATTCTTCATAGCTTGGTGGAAGCGACCAATGGGGAAACATCACAGCTGGCATTGACATGATCAATCGGAAGCGAGGTTTGGTAGAAGAAGAATCACTTGAGGATCGAGCCTTTGGAATCACCATACCACTGCTTTTAACGTCATCGGGCGAAAAGTTCGGCAAATCAGCAGGCAATGCTGTTTGGCTAGATGAATCCATGACCAGCTTTTTCGATTTCTATCAGGTACACCTCTCAACTTTTGGCGCTTCTATTTCGATTCATTCACCAATCAATTTCTTTGTCATAGTTTTTCATGAAGACAGCCGATGACGATGTTGCCAAGTATCTTTCCATGTTTACTCTTCTTCAGCGGGATCATATCAAAGAAATCATGCACGAGCATCAGGTAAGGAGGATTACATCCCAAGTGGTTCTTTAATAACATGCATGATGGCCAAATAGAAAAACCCAGAGAACCGGGTCGCACAACAAGAACTCGCAAATCAAACAACAGAGCTCGTCCATGGAGGTTTGTATGGGGATGTTGAAATGCTACATGGGATGCTCATGTATTTCAATAGCGGATGGTCTGCACAAGGCTCAAACGGCAACCAAGGTGCTATTTGGTGGTGATTTGGGATCTGTCACTGGTGAAGAAATTGTGCAAGCTTTCAAGGATGATTCAAGTCGGCTCGTTCAATTGGATCGTAACCAGGTTATTGGATCAGGATTGGATGGCATCGCTACGTTGGCAAAGGCAACCAAATCCAAATGTAAGTTACATGTTGCTAGGTTCCCTGAAATCCCTTTTAACATTGCTATTGTGGTATTAGCTGATGCCCAAAAAAGGATCAAAGCGGGCGGTCTGTACCTGAATAATGCGCGCGTTGCGGATCCACGTTATAAGGTTGCTGAATCGGATCTCCTTGATGGACAAGTGTGTGTCATCCGCTGCGGCAAATCCTCATACCATCTTGTTCACGTTGTATAGAATAATGATACATGTCGTATTTTAATAAATTAATTGCATGGAAGAAGAAAACTAGTATGGTGGATCATCTCAATTATTAAGCTGAAATTCGATATGGAGCGGTCTTGTTGTAGTACGTGAATTCATTCCATACGAATGAAGGATCGAGACGTTGCCTATAACGAGTTGCACAGCTCCATCCATCCCAATCTATAGATAACGTTATCAATACCATGAACACGAAGCTGTTATTTGAACATACCAAAGTTCTCGTTGGCATTGCAGTGGCACTTGCTTTGCAAATAAGATTCGGTAGGGCAATGCATGAGAGGATTATGCTTGTAGCCGATATCATTGAAGAAATGAACTTCCTCCTTTCTCAAAAACATAGCGACAGCCAGTGAATGTACCGGCGCATCACCCCATCTATGAAATCAAAACGTCATCAGCTATGCGTGAAGCTTACCCTAACCATAATGTTGTAATAACCCCCTTACCTTTCATAGAAGAAACCACCAGCTCTATCAAGATACTCAAAGTAATCCATGTATCTCTTGCTTCTTAGGAAATCAAGCGAACCGATCTATCATAAAGTAGAATGGTTAACATATTTTAAGGAGAGAGTGTGCAAGCATGCATAAGCTTTACCTCGAAATTTGACCAAAAATGGCAGCCGTTGTATGTGAGGAATCCATCATCTGTGACCCATGGAAGTAAGCTACCGGCCCCTCTGATGATGTAGTCTGGATGCTTTCTTATGAATTCTTGGGTTGTTTCCCATAGAGTTGGAATGGTCTCCGGGTACTCAGTCAATGAAAGGGTCCAACCTGCCATCCCATTGGATGATGAGATTATGATGATCAATGCGCATAGCTCACATCCTTACCGTATTTGTAGTCGTTGTCCTTCATCATTTGAAAGACGTCGTAATCAATATCACAAAAGTATTGTACATCTGGTTCAACACGCCTTTGCCATTACACAAGTTAGCAAATAACACCAACATAGGAATCATCATAAACGATACATACCAATAGTACTCAAAGTCATCCAGCAAAGGGTGGCGGAAAAAGAAACCAGATTGGAAGCGGCACATGTGACGGTACGATTCGCTGCCACCATAAATGATGTTACGGTCAGCCATATCCTGACGGCATTCAGCAGCATAGGTTTCATTGATATACGATGGATAGCCCCACATGGATGGATCAATCTTGCCATAATAAGTGTCACCTTTGGTAAGCGACTTTGTCAATGTCTTGAATTCGGTTGTAAAGTCCTGCTCGTTCAAAAACACGTATGGATAATTGAACTTGTGGTTGAAACGATCCTCTACTTGACGCATGGCATATCGCACACCTGTCAAATCACCATTACGTGCTAGTATAACGAATGCTGCCTTGACGCGATTTGGATTTGGCGCTTGTACAGCTTGTTCTTGCATAGGTCGTCGTTGAAAATCATCGATTGAAAGCTCATTCAAATTGGTGATAGGTCGTCCACCACGGTTGGCGACTGATGGTGTATTGCTGACACCTGCTGGTAGGAAAAAGTACGCTACAATCATAAGCGCAGTCAATGCACCCACGATTTGGATACCAAGTGTCTGACGCCTCTTAGACATCATCTTGTTGGAATGTTTCAAAGAAGCCGTGCCTTTGCTCTTTGATGATTTCAATCATCTTGCTTTTATATTTGAGGTGCCATTATTCTAACATTATCAGCTATGCATGGTATGTGCACTGAATTTGACACCAAGGCAGATCAGTTTTAATTACAACAACAGCATTGCTTCCATGGTGCCTCCCCCTTTCTCCCCCTTCTCATTGGCCTCATCAATGATGATAATAAATCCTTTTTCAGCTGACATCATAGTGTGATGCGTTGTCAGAGTTGCTTCGAGGTGTTGTTAATGCATGCATGCCCATGGCTGTAAAAGAAGAATGCGAAAGAATGTGTTGTTCAATACTTTTGTTTATTCATACACACGTTGGTAGCAGTATTTAGATTGGCATAGGGCCCTTGGTAGGGTTTTGGATGATCTATACGTGACAATGGATGAGTATGGATCGATCGTTTTGCATGAAACATGAAGAAATTCAACTCACCTCAACCCAGTAATCATCAGGGTCAGCAATGAAAGCAATATGCTTCATCTTTCCATCCTGAAGACGCTTGATAAACTTGACCTTCAATTCCTCGAATCGCTCACAAGCCTTTTGGATGTCATCCACAACAACAGCAATATGGCCGAAACCACGACCAGGTTCCTTGTTACCATTGGAATAAGCAAAGTCGGCATCATTCTCGGTGCCCCAGTTGCTATACATTGCCAATGATTAATAAGCTTGCCATTAAGGAAGAACTATAATCCGTAGTACGCATAACTTACTGGGTCAACTCAAGCACACCGGGAATACTGAAAACAAGCTTCTTCTTCTCTTCCTCGGACTCGGGGACCTTGTCAACGTAAGCCAAGAAGTACAAGGTGAACTTGCCACCCTCATTGTCAGAGGTGGTGATCAACCTATACGCATGTCATTGGTGAGCTTGGTCCTCGACGTGACGCTGGTGTAGCAAGAGTGCTTACTTCATGCCAAGGACATCCTGGTAAAACTTCAAAGAAGCCTTGGGATCCTTGACACGGATCATAGTGTGGTTGAAGACGTAGGTGGAGGGGTCTGACATATTGTATGTGTTGGATAAAAGAGAAAAAAAGAAATGACTTGGGTACTCACGCGTCGTCCTTGCCCTTAAATGATTTTGCATGGGCTTTTCTTTTCCGCTCGTGTAACGTCATTCTGGTTCAATGCTGCCGTTGGTCACAAAGTGCGTCTCGTTACGTTTGACGATATCAATCCATTGGCCCAAGATGCTTGTGGTGTCTACAAAGGACGTTCCAAATTTTCAGGTTAGGATTGCCTTCTGCTTGTAAACATGTGAGATATATGAATCACCACTAAATAAATCCTTTGATACTAGGCGATCACTAATCGAAGATCACCAATATATACAAGCCGAGAAAAAGATACAAGATAGGATCCGTTACGGGATAGGAGGGGGTAAACACCAACAATAAAGATGAAGAACTACTACGAATGCTTGTAAAGATCGATGCATGCAAAGATCAATGCATGGGCTATCTCTGTGTTACAAAATCACATAGTAGCTGCTCACTTCTTGACGCTTCATTAGTGCCACTGTTTATTCTATAGCTGTTTAATGCATATAGCCGTATATCCTAACCCATAGTAGATCCTCGATCACCATAACATCAACATTGTATTACATTAGATTGACATCATCATGCATACTGAGGTATTATTTGAAACAACGTATGAATAACAATACGGATAATGATGGTATATCGATATCACGGTAAATAAAAAGTAATCATCTATAACTTGGCTTTGGCCATTTTCTTTTGTAGATTCTTTTGGTTCGCCGATAGTTCTCCATTTTCTTCAGCCAATTCATGGGCAAGCCGCAAAACACGAGAGCTCACTAGAGATGGTTGTTAGCAATAGGATCAAAACGTTGTTTATGCAGCGAGCGGTGTGTTACCTGCAGCGTTATCTCGGCGGTTTTTGCCCTCTCTTCTGAATTTGCCAAGGTGCTCAGCCAAATCCCACAACCGACCTCGAGGCACAAGCACACTGCTGTATCGATCGGGTATATAGTTCACATCCAATGCCACCTCAGACCACGGTTTGGGTTCTTTGTATTGTTTGACGAGCAAGATGCCGGATTGCTGGAATCGACTGAAGGCTGTTGAGACCGTTTCTTTGTTCACAGCTTCCAAATAACTCTATAAATGGAATGTTAGTAAACATAAAAACAACAACATCAACTTCATTCACCTACCAAATCTCCCTGATAATATAATGTTTTCCCTAATGCCTGCGTCCGTGCCATGAATGCTTTGGAGTCAACGTAGATGGGTTCATTTTGTGGTGATTTGCTTGGTGGAGTAAGCGTAAAGAGACTGACACATGCAAGCCAATACGAATCGATAAATGGCCATATCAGGAAGCATAAAAAGTCTTTTGATACACTCTTGTTAGTATATAAAGTTCATGATTCATACAATGACAACCTACCATAGTTTTCACGACCACAACTACGCTCTTCATCCGAAAGTCCAATCCAACCATCATCCGACATTTGGAGCACCTTGTGTTCAATAAGCCAATCTAAGGCGCGCTGCATATTGGCTTCGACACCACCAGGCTTGTAGATCATTTCAATCTTGAGCATGCTCGATAAAAATATAATCTCGTGCAAGAGGTCATTGTACTGCATTCGTTGATCATTGATGCCACCACCCTTTTTGATAATGGTATAAAGGGATGCACAAAGAATAGCTAAATATAGCGCATGAGTAATGAGGTTATCTTCCTTAAAGACCAAGATGTATAATACCTTCATCGATGAACAAATGAATGACTTGATTGCGGTAATACGATAACTCGAAACGATCGATGCCATAAAAAGTGGGTTCCAGGATGTCTTTGTCTTTTTGCATGCCAATCAAATCGGGGTGTATGCTGATAGCTCTGTCAACAAGCTCTTCGGTGGATATCTCAGGCACTTCAACCACAGGTCCCTTTTTGGCGTGGATCATCCTTGTGAGCCATTCTACCCGGCGGATCAACTCTGTACGACCAACACCTCGTCCACGAAGCGTCAAGATGACGGTGCCCACCAATGCAGCTGGCATGATTGGAGAAATTGCGTTCTGGATTTGTTTACTTTTGTCAGCCCCTGGTTGAATACCCTGATGCATCCAATATCCTACTTACGATATCCGAAAGTACTCTACATGTCTATGTCAGTAACGAGCGTAAGTGACATGTGCAATTACATTACCTATATCCTAGTGATTTCAATATAAGCGCTTTGTCCGCTGGGTTGTTTAGGAGATCCATGGGGCTGCATAAAAGGAAATGAATAATCAAGATATATATCGTGAATTGAATGGCACATACCCTCGAGATTGAATCTGCTCCTGCATCCATTCTTTCAATGAATATGGCTTCCCGATCCGAACTAGCATATGCAATCAACACATTTAGCATAAGAGTAAGCGAAAACTTGCCACCATCCTCCATCACATACTGTCAACTCGGCCCATTCGTTGCTGAAGCAAACTTGCATTGCCAATAAGACCCCTATAAGATCATTGGTTAATACAGCAAGCAATACATACTCATTCACTTGTATCCATACTCACACTAAGCTCTCCTTTTCCTTAGGTGTACCCAACAATTCGCCAGCATAACTATATATCGATAGGCATCAGATCCATAGCTCTTTTCAGGGACACGTTCTCATGGCATTTACCTTGAAGTTTCGATAATCTTGTCATAGCCTGCCGACATGGGTACGATATAGCAGTCAGGGAAGCGATTCTTGATGAATGCGTCAAGGACGATCTTGAGAATGCCGAGTTTGGGAGGAAGCAACTTGCCTTTACCAATGTGGATCAGTCAATGGACATGGAATTGGACATGGTTCCACTTACCCAATCGAGAACGCGTGCCTTCGACGAAGCATTGAAAGTTCACTGCGTAGGAAGGAAAGAGGAAGGAATCAATACATCACGTTGAGCTGCATTAAATGTCCGGTGACACTTACTACCACGTGACAAGAGCACACTGATATACTCTTCCAAGATCGTTTTATACATCACGTCATTACCCCACTCTCTTCGAATGTACACTGCACCAACAGCCTTGAGAAGTGATCCGAGTACAGGAATATCCATGTTTTCACCTGCAATGATATGGGGCATCTGCAATCCTGGGTTATCCAATGATTTTATCCGTATTAGTTAATCATCTTTACTCCTCCACCCTCCCTCCCTTCCCCATCCAACCTTGTCACCTATCCCCAACCATTGTTCATTCACTTACCGAGTCTGACCATAATGAAGTTAATCACCAGATAATCAATGTGCGACCGATGGGCAGGCAACAATATCAAGGGCAAGTTGTTCTTTTCAGCGTGCATAGCCACTCGTTTCAGCTGAAGACAATCATGTCATTATCCACATGTCTTGTCGTACATTATTCCCACTACATATTACACATACCTCCACCCATTGGTTCTCTTCAATATAGACACCATGATGATACAAACGTGCCAATAAAAGATCAACTGCTGATAGCAACAACCTGATTCGATTTTCTGCCTAATGAGCACAACACTTGATGCATCCACAATTTGTTCAACATACCTTAACTTGGGTCGAGAATCTTGGGTTGCAACACAACCAGCTATAATTTTGTGTGCCATAGCTTCCAATTCTTTGCGTCGTGCATTGTATTGCTTCTTGGCTTGTTTACCCGATAGATGTTTAGTTTGCTCATAGGCTAGTTGATCAATATGATCTTGCACTGTTGCAGTAGTATTAGACTTGTGAGTGTTTGCTGTACTATGCAATGGCTGAAAAAAATACCTGCACGGCTGGTAAAGACGGCATTTCTCATGCTCTCGGAAAACCCCGGATACAAGATTTTGTTGCCGATATAAGTTTCATAACCACGCCAGCCCTGGATAGCGATACTATGTGAGTAGATCAAACAAACCCAAGAATAAGAAGGGAGGGGGAAATACATACGGTGCCTTGATAGTGCATGGCAAGATGCTTCATAAATGTAAGAGGGTCCTCTCTTACTCGTTGAGGTTCATGCTCCCTTATTATGGATAGGTAAAAGAACAATAGAGAAAAAGAGAAGGTTTGGGGACACAAAGGGGAATGAATCAATCCAATGGATTAGTACAATGCAAGGTAAATTTCGTCCCTGTTATTGGATGTATGCTCACATTACGTTAATGTAGACCTCCTTGAGGTCTTGATTCTCGACCATTGTAGTAGTTGTGTGGTAAAACAATGAGAAGCTGAAATGAAAGAAACAAAATGACAAACTCGGAGACAGCCAAATTTATACATAATAGATCGACGTTGCACAGAGACAGGTTTGGGGCAAATGCTCGAAGCTTTTATTGCTGTTGTGGGGTTGATGCTACGGAAAAGAGACGTGCAGCCGAAAATTGGTTGAAGTGTAATGTTGCTTAGGAGCTGGCTTCAGTGGTGGCCTTAACACGCTTGACAGCCTGGGAACCTACAATATACACAAGTATATCAATAAACCATCATCCCCCCTTATGCATCCATGATTACAACTCACCCTCGCGGAAACCATTAGTGAAACGACGGTGAACCTTCTTCAAGTAGCTCATGCGGCCAGTACCAGTGGTTCTTCTACGCTTGGCCTTCTCGGACCAGTTGACTAGTGGAATGGGGTGTGCATAATAGAATGAGCGACATGCATGCGAGACATGGGTTGCATTGTGAGTGCTTACATTTGCGCATCTTGGCGGCAGGATAACCGCAGCTGGCACAAGTCTTCTTTTGCTTGTGGTAGGAACGATTGCCACAACGACGGCACAAGGTGTGCGACTTGGTTTGGCGCTTACCGAACGAGGTGGTACCCTTGGTCTATGTATTGCATCGATCCATCAATGTTTTCGTTCATCCATTAAATTCATCCATTCATCCATCGTCGTTTCGTTGGATTCGTATCGAATGATGCTGTTGCCTATTGTAACATACCATTTTTCAATGGGAGGCCTTGTGAAGAGGGGGTTACCACGCTGCCACGGCTGACCCATTGCTCTCAATCCACCACGCACCATTCTGGCACACAAGCCAACCCCCGTTTTAAAGGCCGCTTAATCACCTGATCTCATCCTCCTTCACCCCAACGATGTCCATATCCTTCGTGCCCATGAAAAGATAGTATCATTTCTAGACGTATTCAACATGATCATTGTTGAAGAGGATACAAAAACAATGGTATGCGTGATTGTTCCCAAACGCCTTCTGTGCCATACCAATTCGCTTTCCCCCCAAACTCCAAAAGCACATTCATATTAATATCATTATGACATGGCAATAAAGTGTAAAGCGTTACTCATGGAAGATACTATTATGGTTGAAAGTAAAGGATGGGGGTATATACACGATACGTAAAATAACTTTTTGTACATGGCTCGTCACTAAATCATTCTCCTCTTCACATAATCCCAGAATCTTTAAGGGAGTTCTTCACGATAGTATCACCAATCACCTGGAACACAAATCTATAAGCCATTTGGATGGTAAGGCGTTAGTTGCATATGCCTACTCATTCCGATAGGGAGCCTACACTTGCCTGATCTATAAAAAAATCCAAAACAAAGAATCAATACGTGTCATTGACAAGGATGGTTGGGGGTCATTGTACTTACATTGCTTGTGCTTGTAGCTTGTGTCAAGCTATATAAGAAAAAAGGAGAGCAAGGATGATGATAATGATCAGCAAGTCATCCATCAATGATTATAGGGATTGAAACAACTCTTACTGTGGATAGATCTGCAACTTCATCCGATTTGTCTGATTGAATCGCCACAATAAGTACTTTGTGCCTTTTTGTGCGTCATTGCCGCCTTGATAATCAGGGAAATAGTGCTCCAGGGGGGTCCTTTGTATTTTGGTAAGGAATAAATCAATCTTGTTGAGCAAGAGGATCACCGAAGTTCTCATGAACCAACGTGAATTGACAACGGATTCAAAGAGGACCAGGCTTTCTACCATGCGATTCTACAACGAGCATGATGAGCATAATTAACCCCATTACCATATATGCCAACAATGTGCCACTTACCTGTTTGCTTTCTTCTTGTAGCACCTGATCATACTCACTAAGGGCAACACAAAAAATGATGGATGTGACCGATTCGAAGCAATGGATCCATTTCTTCCGCTCTGATCGCTGGCCACCGACGTCAAACATGCTACACAATACAAATTCATGCAATTAGCGACCCCATGCATAAATGAGCTCCGTCGTACAACAACAACAACATACTGAACATTGAGTTGGCCCATCAAGAAATAGGTCTCTGAAATGCCAGTGGTTTTCAAACGAGCATGTAGCACATCATCCGTACTTGGCAAATACTCGGGTTTCGATACGCGTCGTGCATCACTCAAAAAGCTTGTAATCGAATCAATCAACAACAGCTCTTGGATGAATGAGCAAGAAGAACACACTTACTATGCAGCTGAATCCATAATGTAGAATTGGCTTGAACCACGTTCGAGAATGGTAGGCGTGTTTTCATCTAGCCAAAGTGTTTCGATGGCACTGATAATATGATCCGGTATCCCCTGATCCGTATCTTCTGTCGGCAACTTGTAGTCTTGAACGGTGGCCACGGCGTCGTTGTTGGCAAGAGGTAGCTCCAACTTGGTGGCACACTTGATGAGATCATGGGCAGAGTCAATGAGGTTCTTGTGGACGATCGGACGCCAAGCTCGCAGCTCATCGGGAGTGTATCCATTCTGATGTATGATCTTCATTTGCTTGACAATGGTCGATTTGCCTGATTCGCCACTCCCTAGTTTCCACAACAGTTGTATGGTCAATAAAATGGGATGCAGGGCATGATATGATATTCCATTCACCTAAGAGCAAAAGTTTACATTCTCGTTGTTGTCGTAGCAAGTCTTGCTCGATTTTCCTATCGATCTGAATACTGCGTTGGCGGTTCTCCCGCTCTTCAGAGGATATACAAATGTCCAAGATGGATAGCATGATACTAATAATAAGAGAGACAAAGGAAAAAGAAAAAAGATAATGATTGTATCTATTGTATATCAAAGGAGAGAAAGAAGAAGAAATGAGAAGACAAATAGGTGTGTGCGTGTGTGTGTGTGTGTGTGTGTAAAAGAGGAAATGACGAAAGAAAAGGGGCAAGTTAAGGTGAAAGGAATAGTTGGAGTGAGGCAAAAAAGACAAAGAAGATTATACCCAGGAGACATTATCCACACGCGCAATCCCATCCCACGTACACACGTTACTTGAACCCTTTGTTGGTGTGTGTGAGAGAGATTTAACATGGTTATCCATCCTTCCCCCACCCCAACCCCCCTTGGTGTAGCTAGGAGACGAAGAAGAAAAAGAGCCATATAGCAATTGAATACCACGTTTTGCACTCAGCCACTCTTTGGTTTGACAGCACTGAACAATAGGGGTCCTTTTTATTGCCTTCAACTTTCGGGTGTTCGCTGCCGTTTTACTCCTTTTTGCTTGTGATCATCAGCTATACACGTGGAATATATATATCAGTCAACTTGAATCATAAATCAACCTCCTTTCACATACATGGTGGTGGTGGTGGAATAGGATTCAATAACCATGATTGCCGTCCTAAGCCTAAGCGTACTGAGTTGGGAGATCCATCATTGTTCTGATCCTCTCTTGACTTGTCATAGGTATGGTTCTTGTTTTCTTTCCCACAAAAGGAGGTTATTAGATTTCAAAAAGACCATCCTTAGAAACGCGTGTTACCTGCATGCGGCTTTTTTCCACTAAAGGTATCGGCAGCCGGCGTGTTACTCTTACTGCTACCAGGTCGTGAAACACATGTTGCTTCTTGCATTCTTGAATCAACGTAGCTCATCACTCCAGCAGCAGTAGTAGTAGTAGTAGGGTGCATCAATGATGACTGTTGCATAGCAACCGGTGGTCGAAGCATAGTGGCAGCTGCTGTCAAATCCTCCTCTAAAACCATATTGGCACCAACAGAGCCGATCGACGGCAAGCGTTGTTGTTGTTGTTGTTGTTGTTGCAAATGTGGATGGTGGGATGGTATTGGTTTTCTCGTTGCTGCTGGTGGTGTTGATAGTGGATGAATGGCTAATGGGTTGGTGATATTGGACAACCGAGGCAATGATGCGGATGCTTCTGATGCCATTCCTTGTTGCTGTTGTTGATGGATGTAATGCTGTTGTTGATGTTGAGCACGTGTTTGAGGATAATCAGATAGCATGGATGGCATGTTTGTTAGCTGTTGTCGTATAGTCTCCACTGGTGATTATCAGCATGTATCAAGAGAAAGTAGTCGTACTCACTCTTACCTCTCGTTTGTTGACCAGGCTCTACAGACAATAGGATCACATGAGATGCGTATTGTCATGGTAGTAATATTATACACTTACCATCGGATGCTAATGCCATGATCATATCGGCGATATCATTGATGACCTAAAATGATGAATGAATAACCCAAAGCTATCATAGTGTGTGGCATCATCATCATCAACGTACTTCCTGTTGACCAGCAATGACTGAACGAAGAGCATTGGTTTCTCCAACAAGTAATTCGTATGCATGTGAAGCTACACGAACGCGGTCCTCTACATCCACCAGATGTCTGTAGACGGAGCCAAAGAGGTAGTCGTCGCTTTCAGCACCACCACTAGGAAAGGTAGATGAGGAGGCTTGACCGGCCTGTAATTGATGACGGGATTTGACACTTTTACGTTTGATATTTTTGAGTTCCTCTACGGCACCTCGACGAAATGAAGGATGACGAAACTCCCAATTCTGGTTGTCGCTTGAAAGATTCGAATAGATCATGTCGTTGACCTTGTGGAACCCATACACTACAATATTGTGCCATCAGTGATATATCAATCCCATCCATGATGGAGGATCCACATACTGTTGAGCTGTCGAACAAAGCTTTGCCAATTGTTGTGCTTAAAGTATTGTGGTAAAACTGTCCTCGAGAACACTGTTGGATTGGTGACACTAAATTGATCGCCATTCTCGGACCAGCAGATGAGGTGGCGGATCGTCGAGTCTTCTAGCATTCTTTTTTGATAATATTCAGATCCAATCCATCACCCAACAATGAGAAGATTAATATACCGGTATAACTTATTGATAAAGGCTGCTTGTGTTCTTGTCGGTGAATTGTTACTTGCTTGATCTTGCTCAGTATTACTGCGTGGGGTGCTGTAATATGCAAGAAGGTAAAGAAACATTTGTAGAGCAATCAACGCGTGTATATGTAGAATATCAAGGTATTAGAGGCTGGTTACAAGTCGTAAACGTGCCGTGCAAATGGTGTATGTGCATGAATGTGTATGCGATGCGCCTGTACCTTGCATCACCATCACCGCGGTAGGGTGCGTTATAGCCGTCAATATTGCTGTCTCCGCCATCGCCGCCACTTTCACCGCCATCGTCGTCAGCTTGCTTGTACTTTTTCTCCGTACTATTTCTGCCGTCGATCATGATATCAGCACATGTCAACTACCGGCATGGGCTGGATCGTGCGGGTGGGAAACAGAAAAGGAGTGTCAAGAATAGGGAACTTGTTTTTTGGCTGCCACAAATCAACCTCAGCACCAAGTTGTACATCTCTACCAGTTTCTCGGAACAGCCGAGCATTCAATAGAATAGCCTCTTTTAATAACAACAACAATATATTACTTTTATGATATCACACAATTCTGCTTTGATTTCCTCTTCACATTGGTTGCTGCTGAATCATGTTCTTGTTGCCATCGCAACTGTTGCTGTTGTTGCCGTTGTTGCTGTTGCTGTTGCTGTTGTTGTTGTTGTTGACGTAACTGATCCCTTTGAATAGCTTGTTGACGTCGACTTTCATTTGCTGTACTAATCTCTTGTTGCTGTAGTGATAATGCCAATGCATAGCTACATGATGGATACGCACATGTTTAGGAGCAATATCATTGATAAGAAAGAAAGCAAAAAACTTACTCAAGCTCCGTATCACCATCCGCTCCCACGTTTTCTGGTAAATCTTGTATCATTTGCGGCTTGCAGAATGAACCATCAAAGAATTCGGATGACCCCTGATCGATATCTCCTAAGCTCTCCCACACTACTGATTTTTGTGATACCAGCCCTGAATCTGTCACCAACATGAATAGACCTGATGACTCGGGATGCTTGAGCAACGTTGAAAACTTTGAATCGTAGCACGTTAATACAATGACGTATAAACACATCTTCCCACCTCCCACACTTACGTGATTGTTACGGAAAAAGACAAATGGTTTGTTGGGTGTCACGGTATCTGCCAATTGCTGTAGACCATAGTAGGTCAGCTGTGTAGCTGTGTCATCAAGGAACGAGGATGCAACAAGGCCTACATACATCAAATAAAGTAGTCAGACCTATCATTGACCGTCATGCCATGTTGACTTGACATACGTACCTTCATGCATTTGAAGCTCATCTTCTTGAGTCCAATCCTTTTTATCATTCAAGGTATCGGCGCGAACCACACATTCCACCACAGCATTATAGGATCCACACTTTCCTGCAACCACTCGATATGTCTCTTCATCCTACATAGCACAAACGTCAATGGCATGCTATGATATCGGCATTGTCGTGTGTAATGTCTACCTGTGGATCCACCACCCATCCATGGAATAAGTCCACATCAAATAAATCAAACATGGCCAGCTCAGCTGTAGGCTCAAAGTCACGGATCGACGAGAAACGAACATTGACATCTGATGGGAAGCAAATGATTAGATCATCACTTATTACATCATCAGGCTATGAAGATGATTGACGTACCAAGGCCGGTTTGTAGATTGGGTAAAATGGATAATGCGGCATCCAAATTGTAACGATACGTGAGAACATACTCTTGAGTGCTGGATTGAGCTGATGATTTGGTTCTGATCATTTTGGTGTTGTCATCGTCATTTGGGCTTGTTGGTGTGGAGGATGGCTGCTATTATATTGAAATTAGTGTCTTTAATTTTCATGCAGCAGCATTGGTTTGTCGCATGAATTTTCCCTTGATACATACCTTGTCTTGATGATTCATTGTGGTAGATGTTGTAGTAGTGTTTGTAGTATTTGCAGTAGTAGAAGGTCCATGATTCAACAAATAATCACCCAATCGCTCAACAAGGTATTCAAAGGTGACCACTTCACGATCAGGCGGCCGTATCTCGAGATCACCTCTCAAAAAGAGCACGTTGCCTAAAGTGAAAAGAACGCATTAACCCCATATCCCGGCTCCGATCCAAAAGGGCGCACACACACACACACACACACGCACACGCACACTACTTACAGATGGCCACCAAGGGACATGGTCCATTTTCTAAAACCTTACATTTCAGTGTCTTGGCATAAACATATATAGTCATCCAAGTTGGCTAAGCCCTTATTACCATTCTGTGTAATGATGCGTACGTCTTTAGCTTCTCGAGTGTTGAAGTCAACCCAACGTATCGTCTTGACAAGGTATTCTTGTGCTGGTCCAGTGTGCGTGTTGTTGTGGTTGGATGGTATCGTCGTTTCGCTGTGAGGCGTGTTCTCGTGCGTGTTCTCGTGAGATGTATGATCATCTGGCTCATTGGGAGTAGGGTTGGTACTCGTGGTCTGCTGGCATGGTGGTGACTCGGTCAATGTGTGTTCTGATAATGGTGGTTGTGGTGGAGGAGGATCTGATAGATAAAAGTGAATGCCTTGAACCTTCATGCATTGCCTTTTAAGCTTACCATGACTTGGTTGTGGAGGGTCGGTTGACATGGTTGAGTAGTAGTGGTACAAAAAGAGCGACGCGGCGGAAGGGTAGAACGCATGAGTATAGATCTCGCACTCCTTATCTCCCTCAATCCCATTCATTATCAGCCCCTCTATTCAATAAAGCACAATGTCATACCCTTTGAACAAATGACACAATGAAAAAGACACTAATACAGCTCATATGATATGAAATGTACTACCTTATTCAAAAGGGGTGTGTCATTATTAACATGCCGTGATACGTGGTGCTGTAGCAAATGCCTCTTTCTTTCTCTTTTTCCTATCACAAACAAAATCATGGACGCATTCTTTGCCAAGGCTAAACACTATGAAGCACAATTTGATCGCTCTCTAGCTCAATACAAATGTATGCGAGATGCCGAGGAAAAGCTCCACATTCCCAAAGTCTTTATTGCACTTGGAGGTGCCTTGATTCTCTTTCTGGTAGCCTACTTTAACATTGCTGGAGAGCTATTCACCGACCTTATCGGATGGCTATATCCTGGTATGTACAGTAAAATCAACATGATACATGGCTATACATGATGGCACTAATAGTGATCCTTCTTGTTCACCACATGCATCTACTATAGCTTATGCATCGGTAAGCATAATAAGCGTACATAAGAGCATCCATTTTGATGACTACTTTTCATAGTTCCAATCTATTGAAATCTCGAGTCGATCAGCAAAACGGCAATGGCTTACTTATTGGAGCCTATTTGGCTTTATCCAAACATTGGAGTACTTTTCTAGTGGCCTGGTGTATTGGTTTCCATCCTTCTTTGTGGTCAAGACATTCCTTGTTCTCTGGCTGGCACTTCCACAGTTTCGGGTAAGTTGATGGACAAAGGGGAAGGGGGTAAGGATAAGCATTGTATAATAATCCAACATTTTAGGGGGCAGAGTTAGTGTATATGAAGCTCATTCATCCATGGATGACAGTAAAGAAGAAGGAATAAATGATGATGATCGATTTCGAGAATACAAGCACCGATGATGTGGGAGCTGAAAAAAGTCAGGTCACCTGTGCACATGCTCTGTTAACTTTCCTTCTTAACAACTTTTATATCATGATGCTTGCTTTAAGAAGCTTTTCTTTTTATTCTCATTTGCGACATGTCAATGCATCTTGACTCTCCATTGCGATGTTCTCACTTGTCTCTTTCGCTGCATCTCAACTCTTTCACTGATTTGGAGTCAACCCTTATGGCTTCAGGCTACAACAACAACAACAACGATAGCTATGATACCACCATGCAGTTGTCGTCACCTAACAACAATCCTGCATTAATCTCGCCTTGCTATTTGGGTTGTTCAATCGATCAAACACAAAACGATCAAGGGGACGAGGAGGAGGAGGAAGAGGATCGAGGAAAGAAAATGATACCAGCTTCTATCCAGGACTCATTACAAGGAGTGATGGACGTGGCTATAAAGCTTGCAGTGTCGCATTGGTGTTGCATCGCGTTCAAAGTGGCTCCTGTATCATTAAATGACATTCAATGTTGGCAAGATCACACGCTCTCTATCCGTTACTGCATTGCAGCCATCAGCTTGATATCTCTTTCATCCCATCATCAAGAAAACAAGAAACGGCGTCGAGATGCTGCCATTGTTTTATATCAACGAGCACGTTATGCGGTGGATGATGCAGGACTTTATTCAATGGACAACATCTCAACAACAACAACAGCAACAATTGATCCAATGATGATCCAAGCCTACTTTTGTCTTTCATACACGAGTAATCTTTTGGGATTCTATGAGCATCAGCGTACCTGGGCAGGTTTAGCAGCGACATCTCTGATACAATCACGACCAATGATCGGTGAGAATCGGGCACTATTGCAATGTTGGTACCGTTGGTACTACGTGGATGCATGGGTTTCCTTGACTTCCGGTCGACACCGCTTATTACCAGATGAGTTGCCATCCCCACCACCATTCCAAGACAACGACCAACACGATGATTTACGGCCTTTTGCAGTACTTGCACATTACATGAGACGATTAAAAAGCAGGAATGATATCAAGACGCAACGGCTACTCAATGACTTGGATCAATGGTGGCACAACTTGAGCAGTGACCGTAACACAACACTGAAAAATAGCGACCCGCATCTACACCTTTGCTTTTATGCCATGCGACTTGTTGTTTTATTCCAATTATTGATGCGTCGCGATACACAACAATGCGTTCCAAGAACTTTGCTTGTAGAATGCTTGTACACCAACCTGCAACTTTTATCCGGATTACAGCATCTACGTGATACTGGATGCGACCACAGCACTTATCACAGCCTTTTCCTTGCTATTCATAACACTGCACGTGATGTCTTCCTTCACACATTAACGTCCAACAGCACCATGAAATCGAGTTGTCGGGAGCAGCAACAAGATCAGAAAAGATTACATCACGTGGCTATTGATCAGCTCAAAATCAATATCGAGCTCATGGAAAGCACTGCAGCCTATGTCAACGATGTTTATTGTCTACGTCAATATGCAGCTCAATGTCGTCGTGATGCAATTTGCTTGGGGATCTCCATGAGTGAAAAGAAACGACATCATGAATCATTATACCAGGAACAAAGCCGTCAAGTAGGCACTGTCTTATTTCGATTGCCCAAATCAGCATCATCATCCACAGCTGCAACTTCTCAACATCATCCTGCTGGTAGCACAATTTGTTATGATGGCATCCATCTTTCTGCATTGTAGAACAAAAGAGAAAATCATGCATTCCTTTGATATGATATTTGTACAACAACAATAACAACATGATTCTTTGAATGATAATAGTGGGAATGTGATGGATGTGTGGGAGATGATGGTGATGAACAACGTAATACAAAAAAGGAGGGATATGGTTCTAGATGGCTAATTCAAGTACTGTATTCTCGGATACCGATTCAGGGTACATGTCGTCGTACTGAGTTGATTCGGGTTGAGGGGGATGAAAAGGCGAAAATAGATGGCGAAGTACCATATTGAATGATCGTGCATTGTTACCAACACGTAAGCCATCTGCTATAGCACACACGTGTGTATAAATAGTGCTTTCCAGTGATGTTGGTTGATCATCCCAGCCATAAACGAGAGCACGTTCAATACGTAAATGATGCTCCATGAATGCTGCTGGGGAGGCAGTTGACTCAAGTTGCTCAACAGCATTCAAAAGACGAGTAACCATATCATGCTGAATACCACCCGTATTAAACCAAGCTACCAGACATGGATGTTGATGATGTTTTCGCCAATGTGAAATGTGGGAAAGCCAAGTTGTACCAGCAAGTACAGCGAGACGAGGCAAGGCTATAAAAGCGACAGGATCCAACTCTTGCAGTATGTCAAGTGTAACAAGTTTTTGTGTCAGGGCACGATCGAGGGTCATTGGAAGTAGCTGTGTGAGAGCGTCACAAAACAATTCGGCTGGTAACGGATTGCTATGATTTGTCATTGACTGATTTGTTGCATTCTGCCATAATGTGCTTTTTGAATCACCAAAAACGGCTCGGCTATAGCTTGCATACAATGCCGATTCAAATGTATCATAGTTGTGCATCAGCTCGTTCAACCGAGTCGTTAATAAATGGGTAGGATGGGTAAGGTGGGCAAGAGCTTGTGCACGGGCCATGCGGCGTACTTCTTGAAGTGCGGTGTAAAGACGATCTGCCAATGGACGTAAAGCTTTTTGCTCATTTGAATCGAGGTGACGAATGTAGTAACCGTGGCGCAATACTTGGCTTGCAAAGATCACACCTTCCTGAAATCGCCTTGTACAAGTAGTTGTTGTGTTGTCGTTGTTTGTGCACAGGGCACCCTTGTGCAACACATGCAGTGTGTCAAGTAAGATCCGCTGGGCTCGATGCATTTCATTTGTATTGCCTTGTCGCACGTTGGCTATACGTTGTTCATCTGCAATTCACATCCTTGGATCAGTCTAAACCCTTTCTTTCGCAAATCTCACGCAAACACTCAATGGCTCCCGTTTTCCCGCAAAGAGCCATTATGGTCACTCACTCACCAGCATAATAAACAAGAGAGAGCAAATTTTGCTTTTCGAGCTTCGGTGGTCGTCCATTTGAAGGACTAGTCTCCATATGAAATACGTCAAATGGAATTTCATGCTCCTTGGTAACATGCTCTCGTTTGTCGCTATTGTCACGTTCTTTACGAGCCATGGTAAGTTTTACGGTATACAGTGCGAGTGGATCCATTGTTGTGAGAGAAAGTGGAAGAAGAATACAAGAAAAAAGGGAGAAAAGTACAAAGCGTTAACAAGTTAAGAAGGGAGTGGATGATCCTGCAGGTTTCTATTTTAATACAACCAGGGGGGTCGGTGCGGTGGATGATAGCTGATGTACAAGAAAAAAGTGCATGAGCGTCGTGTAATTTGATGTCCAAAAAGTTTGTGTGATGACACTAGTTTCAGAATCTGTTGTGTATCGACCCGTATAAAAAATGACAGTTTTGTGCTATGCAATGAGATGAAACGCTATTGCTTTTTACGAATAACAAAGCAAGGATTGATCGCTCACTTTCACCTCTCCTCCCCCCCTTGCGACATCGGATCACAAAAAAAATTACAATACATGGGTTACTCAGCACCACATCTCCTCTTGCTGAGAAGCAAAACAAAATCATGCAACATGAAAAGGGATCGTCAAACGGGATGCGGGCGTCGATCTCAACTCTTATTATGTTGTTGTAAAAAAATAGGGGTAGAATGCAGTTTAAATGCATGATGCAGCTTCTATCCTCTCCAAATGAGCATGCAGTCGCTATAATGAAGGTCGTATGAGTTTTTCCCATGGGGCGTCATGCATGATTTCTGTCACTTTTTGTTTTACCTGAACACGCCACCCATCTACATCAGCTCTACCAGCCAACTCGACGATCCGATCGACAAATGACAGCACCGTGTCCTTCATGTGAATGGTACTCATGATGGGATTTGTCATGATATTGGCATGTCGAGAAAGAGTCGTGGGTCCTGAACCACCACCACCATTACCTCCTCCTGCCGATGATAATGTGCGTGATGCTGTGCTGCTGCTGCTGCAATTTGTTTCAATGACAGCCATTGCACGTACCGTGATCTCCACTAGCATCGATGTCAGATTTTCCAACACAGCCAATGACTCATTGTCGTGTACTGGTTCATAGGGTGGTGCTGCATAAGTACTTTCAACATCGCTCCATCCATGTTGTTGTGGCACAGCAGGTTCATCTTGTAGTGCTTGCAGTGATGTCAAGATCCGCATCATATTATCCATCCATTGCATCAAACGAATATCCACACGGGTGTGTCGCGTGCTGGTAGTGTTCATCATGTTGCTGCTTGTACTAGGTTTGCCACTGCTACGTTGCTGCAATTGCGTTTCTTGTAAAAGCTCCAATCCTTCTGATACCCATTGCCCGTAAACTGTTGCCAGCACACGACATCCATAGATGAGTTTTCTCGAAGGCAATCCGATAAATGAAGTTGTACTTGAAATAAACTCCAACCCACACGCAATGGATTCCATCAGCTATGAAAAAGTGTAAGATAAAACAGCGTGTTACTTATTCCCATGATGTTGTATATACCTTTTCACCTTCAGGATGCCGCATGAGTTCTCGCATATCATTGACCAAGCTTCGTAATCGAGAACATGCCATGTCAAGTTCGCTGATAAGCCCAATACACAGGTTGTAGAACCATCCTTTGGCCATAGCTAGCAATTGTTCATCCACCGGCAATCCCATTGCTTTCCATTCTAGCCCGTTTTGTGCCAAATTGTCACCATACAATGCCATCTTTTCAGAAAGGACCGATTGGAGTCGCCGTGTATCAGCCAAAAGATCATCGGTACGTGGTATAGATTGAGTCGACAGCTGCTTCATATCCTCTACAGCCTATTTTTATCATCAGCCTCGATGTGTATTTGAGGAACATGTATGTATTACTTGCCTGGACATAAGCCATGCTCTTGTTGATATGTCCTTCAAACGCCTTCCATTCGGGAAAGATATCCTGTGATCAAGACGAATAAGGTTAATGTCACTCCATGTATACATTGATTTTCCCACAGACCCAAACATTTACCACAAAAGCTATGGATTGATCACCGCTAAGGTCATTGGCAATCTTCAGGATACGAGCAAGGTTGTCTTTGATTTCCATGAATCGCTGTGCGTCACTCTTTGTTGGATCATGGCTGCCATCGATTTCGGATAAGTAATGATGTAGCTGTTTCTGCTTCTCCTCAAACAATTGTCGATATTCAAGGACGTTAAAGTTTTGTCGTTGAGCCTGTGCTTTGATCCATTCATCAAAATCCATCGTATGATGTGGTAATCTCGTTCCATTACTAATCCTTCGCAATAGCAATGATGGGTCTTCGCCATTATACATAGCGTTGGATGATGATGATGATGATGGTTGTGGACTGGATCGTCGGCTGGATATCATTTTGTGATAAATGCGTGATGATGGTGGTGATGGGTTTGATGGTGATGATGATGAAGAAGTATTGTTATTGGCAGAGATGGATGTACGCATAGGTGATGAGCCTCCACTCATGACTACGTCAGCATCGTCTGTGGATGAGGATGGCGTTGGCGTTGGATTGCGACCACTGACGCTGAGACTACGAGCAATATCGTTGGCAAGATTGGATGAAATTCGTTGCATTTTGCGATCTCGTGCATGATCCAGAAAACTGCTACGCTTTCTTTTGGTTGCTGTCACATTGCCGGCAATCGATCTTAACCCTTTAGAAAAAACGTGTAAGCCCTGCTTTTTTCAATGTATATCAATCCCTTGCAACCCTCACCCCCAGGATGCATCATCATTTCCTCCTCACCCCACCCCCTTTCTTACCTTTGGCTTGTGTAATAGGTGTCTTATCACGCGTATAATCCGATCGTTGCGCGCTTGTATTCAACTGCTCCAAGCCCGATTCCCTTGCAAAGCTATCCTCTATTTCAATTCAACGTGCCATGGATCGACGATCAGTCAATCTCAAGTCAAGATTGGAGCACACCGCCACCCACAAGTCATAGTTACCCAACATGCTCAGAATGACTTTGAGACAATCGGTCCATATATCGTCCTCAGACTGGATACCGCCTAGCATTGGTTTATCGTTCCCATTTTTATCCATAGTCAGAAGGAGTATTGTGTGTAAAGAAAGGATGATTCAAGCATAAAAAAAGTCTCTCTTTGCTATACATGTTGGACCCCGCTGCTTCATTCTCTAGTTCCATAGCAACCCTTTCTCCGCTCTCCCATTGCTCAGATCTTTGGAATCGACCTCCTATTCCTTACAATTGCTTGGGCCCGTGGTAGTACACGTACAAGCGGATCAAATTGATTAGTTTTGTGTCATCATTTATCCAGTGGAAAAAGAAACAATATAATGCAGGAGCATACATATGCAGGATGAATAAAGATAATCTTCCTCATCAGTAGGAGAGAAAATGGGAACTATTATTATTGTTACTAGGACAACAACAACAACAACAACAATGGCGCAACCGAGATTGCTCTTTAAAGTAATAATAATCGTAGACTTAGTTGATATTGATAAAAGAAGGAGAAGGATGTAAGGTGATGTTCCGAATGATGGGGAATGGGCTTGTGGTGGTAGTTAACTACTACTATGATTACTATGGCTACTACTACTACTACTAGGTCAGGCTACTACCATAAATGACATATATAGATTACTCGTGATAGGTTTTCAACCACAACAACCCCGAAGAAGGAAAAAGAAGGGAGGGATCTGAGAGAGAGGGGGGGAGAGGGAATTGGGTGGGGCTATTATATAGCTATAATCTTTAGTATTGCTGTTTCAGAGCACACAAAGTGGCGGTTTGCTTCGTTGTTCAGTAGTTTGGTGTCAGCTTTTACATGAACCTCTCAGAACTCATCCACCGGCCATCTGAAGACGGGCAATCGGTGGTTTCTTCCAATTACGAATCCTCCTTTCAACGCTCACCAACAGAGCCAATGCACCTCGACACTCTTTATAATAAGGTCGGCTCAGACCTCATGGACACTCGCTTTACAACCGACCACCACAACCATCAACATCAACATCTCATCCACGATGCTTATTCGTCCTCAAAGGTATTCTTTTATTCATATGCAAGGTGCTCATCAAAACTCACTCTCTATACTCTCTTACTTTCTTTGTCTGCTTAGCTAATGACGACCAGCAGCAGCAACAGTAGCAGTGGAAGCCCTCATTGGCAATTTGCACCTCCAGAAAGCTCTCGATCACCCTACGCTAGCACCCTCTCTGATCAGTCTATCAATGAGCCTTTACGACCTACCTCTGATCTACGTGGTGGTGGTGGTGGTGGTAGTGGCAGTACGACTAGCAATAGTACTACTGGCGGCGGCGGCGGTGGGGCCAATAGCATCTCCAATGGAGTCGGCGGCAGCAGCAGCAGCGGCGCCATGAGCACAACTGCACGAGGACCCAGCAGCAATTCTCCTGTGTCACCTATCCCTTTAGATAATACATCATCGGTTGATCATCATCATCATCATCATCATCATCTTTATCGAAAGCGGAGACTATCACTCAATGACTCTTCTTCTTACAACAATTATTCACCTGACGATAAATCCACTGATCAACACCTTCCATCATCATCATCATCGCCACCATCATCATCATCCAAATCGACTTCTACCGGCATTGCTGGTCTCTATGGCCGCAAGGATATGACTCTTACCATTAATGGCACCAATGTCACCAAGGACAACATTGAAGAAGGTTACGTCCAGTTCATTTGGCACAATGATCCTTCCTATATCGGTGATAGCATTGAAAATCTCATGTATGTCAAACGCAAATTCTCCTCTGTACCCAAGACCGGTGATTTGGCATACACCACATGGGATGTTTATGCACTTGTCAAGAAATTACACAACAACGAGGTATGTATTGGCAACCATGTTATGATATCTATACTTACATTCATGACAACAGATAAAGAATTGGTCACAATTGGTGGGAAGATTGGGCTTAGCTGATGTACCTGGACGACCCCAATTTGCTCAACGTGTCAAGCGATGGATGCGCAAATACCGAATTGATTGTTACTTTGATTATCTCCTGGGCAACCCTTACAATTTCAACGCCGGTCCTAATGACGAATACACGGGATGCTTAGTCATGGGCAACTATCAAAAGAGACGTGGCAACCGTACACATACCATGGTTACCAACAGCAATACAGCAACAACACATTCCACTGATGACCTGGATTCGAGAAAATCCACCGATGAATTTCCTTCAACACGAAAACGACACAAGCACCATGATGACGATGACAACAAGGACGAGAGTGGGGATAACGATGAGGAAGAAGATGATGATCGCAATACACGTCGAACACCTATTGCACATGCTGGTAGCCGAAAACGAGCACGTAATCAGCCTTTGTTATCGTCTGGTATTGATGATGATCAAGAACATGATGATAAAGAGCACTTGACAACAACATCGACTTCTACTACTGCTATTGCTACTGAGGAGGAAAGGGAAGGAGGGAACGCTGAAGACAATACACAAATGGCAGAACAACCACCTAGTGTATATCCAATGGAGTATTTACGAGAGGATGAAGAGGATGAATTGGCATCATCAACATCATCATCGCCTGCCACTTCACCAGCAGCATCATCACCAGAGCCATCTCCTGAATCGTTATCATTATCAGCTAAATCTACAAAACCACGACAACAACAACAGCAACTTCCATCTTCATTATCCACTACCCCTCCTGCTGCACCACCTTTATCACCACCATCATCATCATTTAAAACTACTGAAGCAACACCAGCACCAGCACCAACCACAGATCTCTCTTTATCATCACCATCACCATCACAACCACCAGCATCCTCATCATCCGTTGCCGCTGTTGTCCCTACTACCAATGCATCTCCTCGTTCACAATCACCATCACACGATCATCATCCTCATCATCATCATTCCCACTCTCCTTCTTCATGCCAAAACTGTACACGCCTTCAAGATACTGTGAGCCATCTACAAGACGATATTGTATTACTCAAACAGCAATTATCAACCATGCAGACACGGCTTAACGAGGAATCTGAAGCTAAAACAGCCATGGTGCGTCGAATCGACCAATTGTGTACACACTATGATAAATGGCGGACGCAACTTGCTGAGCAGCTCTTACAAAGCCCATTTGCAGAGTAATCTTATATCCATCCACACATGACACGTCCACACACACACACACCACAACCCCAAACCTCTCTTTTTCTTTTATCCCATTCCATATCGTTCCTCCTTTTTTTCTTTTTACCATTTAATTTGTAATCTTCATCTCGCTTAGTCAACCTTTATCCGAGAACCACCCCCAAAAACCTTTGTTGTGTATTCGAAACCATATAATTAAAGAATGGTTATGATAATATTCATATGAGACTCCACTTTGGGAATGGATGGTATCAGAAAAAAAAGTGCCACTATCATCGTTTCAATGGGTGATAAGCAGGGTGGTGGCGGGCTTAATTTAGCTGAGCTGATACACACACACACACACACAATCGTGAGGTCGCGGCCCCCACCAGATAGGGCCAAAAAATGATAAGAGGGCCGCACCCTCCTCCTCCACCTCCGGAATAACATGATGAGATTTAGACATTTCAGAGCCATCCATACATGTGGTTGGCTTTAGATCCATGTTTGGTATTTTGGAGATCAAAGCTTGAGTCCCGAGATCATCCGTAAGACACACTACATGTAAGAATGCAAGATAAAGTTCATGACAGAAAAGCAAAAGAGAAGAGAAAGAGATCTGTAACATTATGATGATGCTTTGTTTTCGATGATTGTTGACAAAAAAGACGGGCTATTATCGTCATTCTCTCCTGCTGAATGCAGGGTTGGGGGGTGAGAGAGGTGCGTGCAAGGAGAATCAAAGAGAATGTGCATGTGCATATGCAGGTTGAACATAATACCAATGATGGGCCATGAAAAAAAGTAAACGTTATTGTAAACAAATGCTTGCATTAACACAAAACAATAGAGTCCGACCTTTATGTGGCCATGATTCTCCACACACACAATCGTCCGGAATATTGTAATCCGTTCTTCGGATAATCCATATAAAGAGATAATAGCATATCACGTTGTCGATCATCGTTCTATTTATTTGGTATGCAAAAAGAGGCTGGTTGCTGATAGGTGCCGTCGCTCACGCGATGCGATATGACGGGTCGGTTGCGGCTTTACATTGACGTGTGATGGACATGTAAAGAATAATGATCTCATGATGATACGCTTTTTACTGGGGATTTGGCAAAATGATGAGTGGAGAAGAAAAGAAGGAGAAAAAACGACGAAACAAAAGGAGCTGCTGGTTCCATGGAAGTGATTATTGTGCTTTTTGTTCGGTAGATTTCCCTCTCCACATTTACATACATTTGCACGTACCCCGCAAGAAAAGGCGTGTTGTTGTTTGTTTCAAATAGGGGGGTGCTGGTGATGTATGTAGTGGTGGTGTGGGTGAATAGAAAGTTGTTAAAAGTGGGGAGCTACGCACGACCGGAACGGATACGGGGGAGTTAAAAGATGAAGCGGTAGTGAAATGATTGGGTCTCGTGTGCCTAAGCGTGGGACATTTTCTGTTTGGTTGGCAGCTTGCATCCCACACGTGCGGTCCTTTTTGCCCTCTTGCAGTTTCCAAATACTGGATCTTCCATCCCCACTCATTAATCATCACGGCTCAAATATCGGTTTCTGCTATCCTTTAGACTACGCCACCCCCATTTGCTTTTTCCTTGTGAGAGCAAACATACACTGTGTAAGGGGAGTTTGCTTGTTTGTTAAATGTACCTCCCATATACAGCTCTATTCAAGAGGGCATGTCCCTATCTAAATATTAGTGATAACGAACGAAGCCAATATATGGTGCACTAAAATTAAGGTTCACTGGGGGGTAAGGGTGTGCACACAACAACGCGAGGAGGGTTGCACAGAGATGGAGTTACACACTTTCTTTGACAGCATGCAAAAAAACCAGATTTCCCGAGCTAATCGTGAGCGCCCTTGCACCTGATTGGTGGACATACCCGTTTTGGCAAGTATATCGGGAACTGGCTTGCAATCTTCATCCGCAAAACCGATTGCCCCCCCGCTTCACAACAAAAAATATAAAAGCATTCTCCTCCTTTGCTGTTGGACTTTCGATAGTTTTCTCTTATTCTCCAACTACTTCTATCTTGTGTCTTTTGTTAATCCCATCTAGTTGAATGCTTCGCTCGGCTCTTCCTCGTGTTCGTGTTCTACCACCACCATCTGCTCGTTTCAACATCCCATCACCACCTTCAGTTTCCTTACGAACCTTTGCCACTCGTACACATGCTCCCCACCCCAATGTTCGTCTTCCTTACAAATCCATCTCGGCTAGTGTAGCCTTGACATCCGCCTCTATGATGTATCTTTACTCTCGCTCTAATGATGATTCCCTTCTCGGTATGCGTAAAGCATACGCTGAGATGTCCCACCAACATCACCACCCTGTATCCGCTTACATGTCATCTTCTCCCGCTTCAGCATTGGCTGAGCTCAATGATGAGAATAACCGTTCCTTCCTTCATGCCAAGTCGACGGAAGATTTGTTGATGGGCCTTTTCGTTTACAAGTTGTGTACTTTCCAATGGTTGGTTGATGCTGCACCTCAACTTATCCATTTCGCCGAATCGGTCCACCTTGAAAAAATTGCTCACTGGGTTGTCAAGAATACTTTTTTCCGCCATTTCTGTGGAGGTGAAACACCTGAAGAATGTGTTGAAGTCATGGACAAGCTTAGCAGCTTGGGCATGAATGCCATTCTTGATTTGAGTGTTGAGGCCGATGAATCCCCACAAGAAGGTCCTGAAGCATTTGCCAACCAAGAACAATATGCTGATTTCATTTTGGGCAAGACCAAGCATTGCCTGGAAACCGCTGCCATGGGAACCGCTCGTACCAACCAAGCATCTGGTGCTTTTGCTGCCGTCAAGGTTACTGCTCACACCCCACCTGAATTGTTGTTGCGCCTCAACTTTGCCATTGCTACCCTCAACAAGTCTTTCCATGATTATCAAGTTGACGGCAAGATTGATGCTGCTTCTTTCCGCAAGATTGTTAACGATGTCTTGCCCACACCAGCAAGCGATAGCCAACGTGAAGAACGCAACAAGCTCATGTCCAACATTGAATCCCTTGACTTCATTGAATATACCAAGATCCTCAATCTTTATGGTCCTACTCGTGATGTTTGGTGGTCTAGCAACGACAACGGCAATGATCGCAAGCTTATGAACACCTTTGATCTTGCTGCTTATGATCGCCTTATGGATCGTATGGATCAAGTTTGTGGTACCGCTCATCGCCTTGGTGCTGGTGTCATGATTGATGCTGAACAAAGCTACTTCCAAGAAGCTATTGATCATGTTGCTCTTAACATGCAAGCCAAGTACAATCGCCGTGATGAAGACAAGGCTCCCACTGTGTACAACACCTGTAAGTTTCCCATTACCTTTTAATGCCATTGCATGTATATTAATCATTTTTATTATTGTTGTTGATAGATCAAATGTATACCAAGGCATCTCTTAGCAAGTTGGAAATCGATGTTGAACGTGCTCATCGTGAAAACTTTGCTTTTGCTGCCAAGTTAGTGCGTGGTGCTTACATGGTCTCGGAGCGCAAGGTAAGGAAAAAAAATACATAAATCAGTTCAATGATGATTGGTGCTGATCCATATTCCCTTTCTTAGCGTGCCCTGGAAAACAACTACCCATCCCCGATCCACGATACATTGGAAGACACCCACGCTTCGTACAACAATGGTGTCGTCTTTTTGTTGAGCAAGTTGCGTGAACACCAAGAATCCACTGGTGAGACCTTGTCGTCTACTACGGCACCCATTGTGTTTATGGTTGCCACACACAACCGCCAATCGGTCATCCTCACTGTTGAAGAAATGGACCGCCAGGGTGTTCTCCCTCGTTCTGGTGTTGTGCATTTTGGCCAACTCTTTTCCATGAAGGATCAACTCTCCTATGCTCTTGCCCGTAACGGCTATTCCATCTACAAGTACTTGCCTTATGGTCTTATTCAAGATGTCATCCCCTACTTGATTCGTCGTGCTCAAGAAAACTCTGCTGTCTTGGGTGATGTTGGTCATGAGCGTGAGCTCATGTTCCAAGAAATCAAGGACCGTGTTACTGGCAAGACCCCTAATGTCATGATCAACTCTTCCTCTGCCTCTGCACCTGCTACCGTTGTTGACGATGCTACTGCTTCAGCCGATAATACCTCTACCTCACCAGCGGCTGAAATGTCCGGCGTTGCAAAGACGGCCTAATCTATTATCCCCACACACTCACATACATCAAGGGTTGAATACCCTTTGTTATTTACTTCATTCCCCTATTCATCATCTTCCACATGTTATTAAGACCCACTTCCTCCATTATCGCACATCATTCCCCCTTATTACCCGTTTTCCTTGTATTTCTAGCATGTTTGTCTATTTGTTTTTTCATTCATCTGGAGGATTGTGCTTTAGAGACCATTCTTCATACATAGTTTTCTCTTCCATCGTACATAATACAAACAACTTTTATCACATTCAAGTCTCGGAATGTATCGTGTGTGTGTTGAGCTAGCAATCTATAGTCCCCCATTCCCCCCGCAATTGGACATGGTGGAGATAATTCCCGCGGATCTAGAGATCTGGGTCAGTTAAGGTTTTGGATTCATCACCAGAAACTAGAGCCGACTATGCGGATCCAAATGTACCATGAAAAAAATGTTTTTTATCAATATACCCCTTGGGGGGTGGGTTGAAAAAAGTCTGGTGCGCGCGCGTGTCTGGCCCAATCGCTAATCCAAGCCACTATAAGACCCCAATCTTACAACAAAGAACAAGTTTTTGCCATCTCGATCCATACGTGCTTGGCGCATTGTCATGTGGAGATGAAGTACATATACATGCATGTGGCACCATCCCATTGCAAAGTAAAGAATAATGTACCTTTTTTGTGTCTCATGATCACAAACTACCACTGACGCGTTGATGAGAAGGATGTTCTTGAACTTTGTTCTGTTGTGTCACTCGCTGATCTTGGATGCATGGCAAACTTTAACCTTGTGATCACACCCGCTGTCGTGTTTTTTTTTCTCTCAGTTTCCACACACGACCAAGCAACCACTTTCCACGTGTACATACACTCCCCCCAAAACTCATCCATCCATAGACATTTGCTCCATCTCAAAATCACCAAATACAGTTCCAAAAGAAACAAACCACAATGAAAAGCTTGTTGAATGAAGAAAAAAAGATCATCTAGCATCTAGGAAGAGGAGGAGGATGATCGGGTAACCTTTCGTGTGGCCGTGCCAATTCGACATGAGTTGACCTAAATCCAATTATCAGCTTATCGTGTTCTTTTACAGCGTACCAGGACCCCGCTTTTACAATACCTTCGTTGCAAAACGTAATGAGCAGAGTGTTTCACCAAAGTGTTCCGAAAGTGGGGAAACATTGACAAACATAAGTGTCTTGCTATTGCCACCTATGTCCATAAACCATCAGTCGTGAGCCATGCCATGATACCCCAGCCCAAATAACAATGTCCAACGGGGAATTGCCTTACCAAGAGAATTCTGTAACAAATACGTCAGCTTGGAATTTCTGTAAGGCACATGGCCACCCTCCTTGTTGTTTGCAAGTGCATGGATCACATCACCAAGGCAGCTCAAACTCTTGTTAATGGCTTGGGTTTCTCGTAATCGATCCCCTGTTGATCCTGATAATGCCAACCGCTCTGATCCTGCAAGATCAATCAAATTGAGCACACCGGAACAATGCTCTTGCGTTACGGCGTTGCTGCCTGTGATGCGTAGCATAAAAACACTGTGACTTCGAGATGATCGCTCGTTCAAGTTGGTGGCACCAGTCGCTCTGTTTTGGCTCGCTTTTTTGAGCATGCTCGTGACTTTGGCAGGCGAATCAAGTACAACTAGAAAGAAAACAATGACATTATTAGCTCATCCATGTGAATAAATAATCATTCATGTCATATGCATACCTGTTGTCATATCTGTAACAGTTGTCCTTCCATTCTTTTCATGCCTGACTTCATGCTTGATCTTGCCATACGTCGATGTGTCACCCAATAAATCATGCAAGTTTTCATTGTAGATCTCGAGAAATTGCCCTTCCATGGAGTAGCTCCAGTTGCGATCATTGAGCTTTTGAGCTACGTCATATATTTGTTGAACGGCTCGAGGAATCATTCCAGCTGATTCAGTATTTGCTCGTGGTGGGCCTTGCATGGTATAAGTCTATTATTGTACACCTACGTCAGTGATCTCAATCCACCAAGCTAACCTTGCTCGCTCATTCTTACCTTGCCACTGCCGGTTTGCCCATATCTATCAATAACTCGTCATCTTAGTTTTGGTTGTCCAACAGCCCAAAAGATGTACACTTACGCAAAAATGCACACATTATAACCATCCAGTGCTGATTGTACAAGCTGAGATATCTCCTCATAGCATTCATGTTGCGTGCAACTTGGTTCAAAGACCTGATATCATACATGTAAATATCTAAATTGTGATCCACACCAAATGTAAACTCACCTTGTCAAATGCAAATGGGTATGTTTTAGTAGTGATCTTGCCAAGTGTACTTGAAACTTCTTCTTTGAGCTCGAGCTTTTCACTATGGTCGCCTATCTCTGGATTGCTTCCACGGAAATCGATTTGCGCCATACGATGTTGATCGCTCTCGGATTCTACGTTATCATACATGAGAAAATCGTCATCTATGAATATCATCTCTTGCATACCAAGTATTGGTCTGACACGGCAAAAGACGCGGATATTGCCTTTGAGTTCCTGGATGGTGTTGTGCTTTTGCCGGCGGATCTTTTCACTCTCCAGAAGCTTTGATTCCAAATCAGACACCTTGTTCTTGGTCTTCGTATGAGAGTTCTCAAGCTGGTCAATGTTGTTCTGAAGATCGGTAAGCATGGTATCCACTTGCTAAATGATGTAAAATCGTTAGCTGTTGTCTTGAACTCTGATGTCCTTCTTACCTCTCCTTTGGCTCGGAACATGTGTAAATCGGCTTCCACTTGATTAAGCGTGTTCAATGTCCTTTCCATTGTCGCCTAGTAAATGCCGTAAGTAGCATATCATAATGACCCAGCCTGTATGTATACTTACTCGTAAAGCAGTATTCTCTGTGCTGGAACGCTCACGTTGTCTCTCCAAATCGGACGTTTGTTCTCGCGTACGCTCGATATCTTGTTGCAAACGCTGTAGCTTTTGGTGGCCTTGACCATCCTCTTGATCCAATGCATCTTCTTTTGCCTTGAAAGACTCGTTGATCTTGGCCATTTCATCCTCATGACCCTTTTTGGCAGCCTAGGATACAAAGATCAATACCCATCATTGCATTAATGCTTCTTTGTACGTACCTCAAGCATCGCTTCGGCATTCATCAATTGAGTATGTAGTTCACGTGCCTCTGTTTCCTTGTTGGCTGTTTTGTCCTCCCAACCTTGCATGGCGTCCATGAGCTCGCTGACTAAATTATTGAGAACAATGAGACAAAACCAACAATGACCCTCATTGTACACCTACTTCGTTCTTTGTTACTGAGTAATTGCTCTTCCATGTCTGAGATCTTCCCCTATTGCATCGTTTTAATTCCATCATGTCTATAGATAGAGAAACAATGAAAGTGTTGGCTTTACCCGTAGATCCCAAGCTGGTCGTTTCTTTTTTGTTATAGCGGTTGATCCATTCGTCTTTGCACCTGCAGTGCTATTCGTAGTCGAAGGTTTTGGAATGCGTTTGGGCGTGGTAACTGGTGCTTTTGATGTTGATGACAACGTGCGTCGTAAAGCATTGGTAGGCTTATTGATTGCTGATGATGGTCTTGATATAGAAGATGATGACGATGATGATGATACACTCGTCTTTGTTCTCGCTGTGGTAGCGTTGCTGTTCAACGATGTTGTAGTGCGTCTGGTTGTGGAAACGGGTGTCTTCGACGTTGATGCTAATGGTCGTCGTATGGTATTGGTAGAATGGGTCGACGATGGGATGGATGTGCTGTTCACTGGTTTGGACGCTGAATCGGTGCGAGCTTTTACACGACGGTTCTCCTCTTCAGTGCCTTTGCGCTTGATGCCCACAGGAATCTTTGATCGCGTCATGGTGGTTCGTGGTTGAATGTTGCCGTTCTTTGGGGCTAAAGGCATGTCCAAAATGAAAGAGGAATACAAAAAAAGGGGAAGCACGAAAGTCTTAGTCTCCCACACGCGCTCAACGACAAAATCACAATGAACGCGGAGCAGGAAAAAATGGCGCGCATGATGGACATCGAAATGGACGAGGATAATCCTATGCACTAGAATAGTACTAGTCAATGGTATGCAAGATCGAATAAATGATCAACCAACTATACACTTGTGTTATCAGCCATCAGTCAAAAAGTGATTCCTTTCTATCGAGCTAGCTTGGAGGTATAAAAAGTAGCAGAAGGTTTCTGTACAGGAGGACACCAACCAGCATTGATATCTTGAAATGACATGTTGCTCCAATCCACATGTAAACATGATAGACCCAAAAGGTTGTTGATTGTATCACTTTATGTTTGCCATAAGGGCTCATTTGAATGAATCACTTACAGCTTGGAGAATGCTGTATACTTTCGGGTAAATCATCAACTAACTGTTTGCAGCAAAGTTTCTTAACCCGCCACATTAGCGGATGTGGCAGTTCTATGGTCCTGAATATAGTAGATATCGATCAGAATCGATGATTGCTTTTGAAAGAATAAACGTTGTACATATATGAATTATCATCCAACATGTTGTCCAATACGTGAATGCCTTTATTACAAGTTTACATCTCACATGCGATAAAGAATAGTGAAATTGACAACAAAGGACACAAGCAGTGTTCTCAGCTATTGGACCTCTTTGATGGGAAATGGAAGCTGTAGTCGTAAAGCGCATCAGCAAAGGATGGATGTTCCTGAAAATGGTCACGTGGATGTGGTCGGCGGATACAACACGACAATAGACTTGTTGGCGAGTAAAGGAGCTGAAGACTGCTGCCATGGTCCGGATAGCCTTCGACAACTTGCAAGTAGTAAAAACACATTACCTTTTCTAATGATCAATACGGTATCCATGGGTACCGGATTTCTAGCGTGAGCATCATCATGCCGCAACGTAAAAGGGGTTCACTACGCGATAGTGGGTAAAATTTGGGATGGTTGTAGTGACTGACAAAATAGCACAAGCCATAATTTCGCGCTCAAAAGGGGGACCACCACACACACGTTACACACCTTTACTTGTTAAAAATGGCAGCCTTGCTCCCATTCACAGCTGGCGTCAACTACGATGAGGATCAAGGCAAGTGAAATTGGATAAAAAGAAGGACGACAACAAGTAGACTTATGGATGCCGTAGAGAGCTTGCGTCTGTTCTTTAACGAATTCAATGACAAGTCAGTAACGGCTGATGGAATGGACGTCGAGACGCTTCCAAAGTATATACAAATCATGGTAAGGAGCATCTTGTTGACTCTTGAGCACGTCCCTGATTACTAACATGTGCTATTGTAGCAACGCATTGTCGACAGAGAAGAGAGCGTGATTACCGTTGAGCTTGATGACCTTGCCAAGGTGAGTAGTAGTAACAAGGTGGTCGCGTTTTCATGGTGTATTCTTACTCATAGTACGTGTTTTCAAGTTTGAGGATTCGACTCATCGCACTGTCGCCAATATCCGTCGCAATACCAAACGCTATATCGACATCCTTTGCAACGTGATCGATTCCATTTGTGAGACGCTTACACCACGCAACCCTGAATTGATTTACAAAGACAGCGTATTGGATGTGATTATCGACCAACGACGAAGCCGTGATCAAAACCGTGTTGGCACTGCTGAAGAACCTTTCCCACCTGCTCTTACGCGTCGATAGTACGTTAAAAGGATCATTCTTATATGAAGGAGGTATCAAATTAACGCGTATTATCGTGTAGTGAGGTTTTCATTAAACCGTTGTCGAATTCGGAGGCCTTATCCGTGCGTCAAATTAAGGGCAATCAGCTTGGCAACTTGGTTACCGTACGTGGTATCGTCACCCGCGTCTCTGATGTCAAGCCTTTCCTCCAAGTCAACACTTACAGTTGCGACTCTTGTGGCTGTGAAATCTTCCAAGAAATCAAGCAGCGTCAATTCACACCTTTGACCGAATGTCCTTCAGAGGAGTGTAAGAGCAACAACGTCAAGGGTCGTCTCTATATGCAAACTCGTGCATGTAAGTTCTTGGCCTTCCAAGAAGTCAAGTTACAGGAATTGGTACGTTGCAACGATCATGAACTACTAGTGGGATCATTGTACTGAATATAAGCTGAATAGGCCGATCAAGTCCCTGTTGGTCATATCCCCCGTACAATGACTGTACATATGTATGGTGCCATGTGCCGTCAACTTGCGCCTGGTGATGTGTGTCATACATCCGGCATCTTCTTGCCTATGCCTTACACCGGTTTCAAAGCATTGCGTGCTGGTCTTCTCACCGATACATACATGGAGGCTCAATACGTTCACCGCTTGAAGAAGCAATATGATCAAATCGAAATCACACCCGAAGAGCAGATTCGTCTTGAAGCTTTGCAACGTGATCCCAACATTTACAGCAAACTTGCTCGCAGCATTGCTCCTGAAATTTATGGTCATGACGACGTCAAAAAGGCATTGTTGTTATTGCTTGTTGGTGGTGTGACTAAGACCGTTGGCGATGGCATGAAGATTCGTGGTGATATCAATATTTGCTTGATGGGTGATCCTGGTGTTGCCAAGTCTCAATTGCTCAAGTTCATTGCCAAGGTCGCCCCTCGTGGTGTCTATACCACCGGTCGTGGTAGTTCAGGTGTTGGTCTTACTGCTGCTGTCATGCGTGATCCTGTCACAGATGAAATGGTGCTTGGTAAGTTATCAACTCTTCAAAGAAAAAGGGGATGAATGGTTCATTGACTTGTGGATATATAGAGGGCGGTGCTTTAGTATTAGCAGATAACGGCATCTGTTGCATTGATGAATTCGACAAGATGGATGATTCGGATCGTACCGCTATTCACGAAGTTATGGAACAACAAACTATCAGCATTTCCAAAGCTGGCATCAACACAACCCTTAATGCACGCTCTTCAATCCTTTCAGCTGCTAACCCACTTTATGGCCGTTACAACCCTCGATTATCGCCTACTCAAAACATCAACTTGCCTGCTGCATTGTTGTCTCGTTTCGATATCTTGTATTTGATCCTCGACAAGCCATCAGATGATTTGGATCGATTGTTAGCTGAGCACGTTACTTACGTCCATACCCACAACAAGCATCCTGAACTCGACTTTGAAGTCTTGGAACCACACATGATCAGGTAAATACTCTACCTATGCTTCTCAAATGTGCATGATAACTCATATTTGTTTGTTCGATATAGACACTATGTTGCTGCTGCTCGACAAAAACGACCTGTGGTGACTCGCGAAGTTTCTGAATATATCACTGGAGCCTATGTGCAAATGCGTCGTCAATACAAGCGTGATGAGGAAATGGAAAAACAATTCACCTATGCATCTGCACGTACGCTTTTGGGTATCATTCGTATGGCACAAGCTTTGGCACGTATTCGTCTCTCCGATCTTGTCGAAAATGTTGATGTGGATGAAGCCTTGCGCCTTATCGATGTTTCCAAGGCATCCTTGATGGACAATGACGATGGTCGAGAACGTGGTGCCGATAGAACTTTCATGACCGGTGTTCTCAATGTTGTTCGCAGCCTACGCGAGATTCATGGCCTTCAACTTGATATGGCCACTATTCGTGAGCGTGCACTTGCCCGTGGTTATAGCGAGGTACAAATCACTGAAGCTATTCGAGAATACGCCAACCTTAACGTCTGGCAAGTCAATGCTACCAACACCCGCCTGACAGTTGTGGAGTAAAAATCACGTAGTCTTTTCTTTCTTTCGCTTTCTTCTCTTTATATTTGTATACATTTCATTCTCTTTTCTCTTTCTCTTTGTATCCAAGCTCTAATATTATGAAAATAAACATAAAAAAAGGAGACAATATGCATGATATGATATGAGTGTATGTGTATTGGTATGTTCTATTGTATAATGATTCTATTCTTGGGCTTGTATAGCATCAACGCTACGATCTATTGCTTCAGGATCGAGTTTCGTTGGGCGACCTTCTTGATTCGGAGGACGAATGTCATGGGCTTCAAACATGGCGACAATGAATTCAGCGAGAGGCTTGACAATCCAGCGAGTCGGCTGCCACACGTGCTCAAACCAGCCAATATGACCACCGTACTCGGTAGTGGCAAGGATGACATTGGGGTTGATTTTGATCTCATCATACGGAATGCCTTCTGCCACGGCAATAGGATCGTCAAGGGCATTGAAGCAGAGCAAGGGGATGCGTACATGTTCAATAAAGCGTGATGAGCTGGCATCGCGGTAATAGTTGTTGACAGTGGTATAATTGAACACGCGACGGGTGCAAGCATCATCAAATTCACGAATGGTCCTTGAACGCATGATTTCCTCTACATCCAAATTGGGATGTTTTGACAACATATCGACATGTCTACATGCTTAGATTAGCACATCATCCAATTCGCTCCCGTTTGCTTTCCCTTTTACCTGCTAAAGGCCCGCTTCAAATTACCAGCCATTGTACCGGAATAAATGGTGCGTGTCAAATAATGACGATCCAAAGCCAAAGATGAGCTATAAGGGAATCACGTGCATTTTCCATGAGTCAACCAGCAGATACGTCAAGCGTCAATATCCCAACTCACTTTAAGAAATCAAATGGATTGGCAACCGATACTGCTGCTTTGAATGGGGTTTTATCGCCTTCTTCACCAAGATACTAATTCCTCAATCAGCTTCTGCCAGTGATTATAGCATTCCCTCTCATACATACCTTGACCAAAATATTGGAACCCAAAGAGTAGCCAATTCCCATCAGAGGGGTCCCTTCAGGAAGCACGTTTTGGATATGTTTCAAGACATGTCGTAAGTCATCGGTGTATGCACCATTAAAGAGTTGTGGTGTAGTGAGTTCTGTGTTGGCACATCCACGCGCATTAAAGACGACGCCGCGGTAGTTGAATGGTGGTCGGGTGATCTAGCAATTAGTATTATCAATCACAATGCCATGTCATACAATGATTGCTTCTTGTTTACCACTTCAAGTAATCCTCGGATGTATGACTCATGACTTCCACCCGTTAACCCATGAAGAAGGACCAAGGTAGGTGTATTATCCAAAGGCTTTTCAGCAAGGGTTGGTGCCCAATCAATTGACACTTGACCTCCGTCGGGCATGGATAGCATCTCTCTGTCAAAATGATTGATCCGAATAGGCTGTCAATATCACAAAAACCTTCAATTGATCAAGAAAAGACCCTACCTTTCGTAGCATACATCGTTCTTTGTACCAGCTCCATTGTAATAGGCAGCATACCCAGTTTGAAGATGACCATTGAAAAGATAAGGCGTTGGGGAGTAATAAGCTTTTGGACCAACAAGAGAAGGACACTTTTGCGCAATGTAGTCAGTGAGTGGAATGGAAGCATTGCCAGCTTGTTTGAGTGAAATGGACACGGGAGTGGGATGATGGAACAATTTGACACTTGACATTGTGAATAAAGAGAGAGAGAAAGTGGTGGGTCGGTGCCTGCATTCGAAGAGCGCAAGGTTTTTTCTTTTCTTTGATGGAAGATCGGATGCGTCGGCACGGAGGTTGTGCCGGTGGTAACCACCCAACCAGGGCAAATCCTTCAAGTCAACATTGTTTCTACTCTTTTTATAACTGAAACCTACGCCCTGATTCTTCTTTTTATAATATCCTCCTCCTCATCATGCATATCTTGTGTGTTTGTGGAGCGGGCGTTGGATGTGGATCACGAAAAGTTTATTAGTTTCACACTGTATGCATAGTTACGTTCATGCGGCGTATTCGTTGCCATGGCATCACGCACCCATCATCACCTGAATTCATATCTCAAAGCCACTTGTAAGTAAACCACTTTATTCTATATGATGAGGCTGATGTGGTGTTACCGCTTTGTGCAGTAGTAAAATAGGAGCATCTGGCGGAGGAGGAGAGGGTCTGTGGCTACATTGTTCGGAGCGGCTCTTGTCGTTGCCAAGACACAGTGCACCCTGTGCAACGATGAATGCTTTTATGTTGTGAATCAGTTGTTGCCGTATATCCATTTCCTTTGTCTTTTTCCCTTCCCCTGAAACATATTATCCCCACCACGTATTCGCATTTAATATCTCTTCACACAAATGGATAGCGAGGAAAACTCTTGCCCAACAACAGGTGGTCTTCGCGAAGATTCTGGTTTGTAAGTCCCATTTCATTCTTCTCGTCTTTCTATCATAACTTCTTTTGGTCAATTTATCCTGAACAAGTACATATCTATTATTACAGTAACCCAGGCTTCCACTTCCATGATCTTATCGTGCATCCCAGGTACAATGCGCTAATGGGCAACTTGCAAACATGGCGATTGACACTCGACATTAACGTATAGTCAAAACTGGCATATCTGGGGATGGATGCTTTGTTTACTCTTGCTGGTAATTACTTGGATCGCGGTGTTGGTGAATATAGGAAGGCATCTACGAAATTACTAGCAAGTATCTACACACCTACACACATACACATATGACCAAACAGCTAACCTCCTCTTTTCGGATATACACAGTGACCCAGAGATACAACGCCACAAACTACGGGTGTTACTTTATCCTCCAGTGTACGCCACGTTGTAAGTTTGACACCATTATTGTTGTACATGTATTGAATGAGACACACACATACTCAACATTGTTACGCATAGGGCTTGGTTTTCCTATCTCCGATACGATTACTCCACCACCATCATGTTCTTCGCCACCCTCTTTGAAAGTTTTGCTGTATACAATTTGTACACATGTCTTCAAGCATACCTCGCTCCCTACCGAGAAGAAGTCGGCTCAGCCAAAATCCCTATCACCACCAAAGTATTCGGCATGTTCACTGTAAAATTGTAAGTAGAATCGTTGTTGATGCTTAATGATATTCAAGAGGAGCTGACATCTTATATAGAAAATCAAAATTCGGCATGCATTATCGTATCATCACCGATATCCTCGTTCTGCAATATCCCGTCTGGTAAAAAGATAGATCCATATACCCACTTTTGTAATCATGTTATCTAACAATTGAATTATACAGGGCCATTATTGATGCATTGGTATCCATCATTACTGAAGTGAAAGGTTACTACTGTGGCGAATCGTACAGCTTTCGAGGCGCGTATGTTTACCTTACCATCATCAACTTTACCAGTTTATCCATCATCCTTAGTGCACTCTTTGTGTACTTGGCTGTTTTCCACGATCAATGGCAACAAGGCGGCATTCGCGCTCACGGCATGTTTTGGTGTGTCAAGGGTCCTATCATGTTTATCTTTTACGTGGGTGAAATCTTGCTCACCATTTTGGAGACTGTGGGTGTTATCAAGGGCACAGATGGCACCAACTCAAGTGATGGACTTGCATGGCCTTCAGCAGCTGTCAAGAATGGCCTATACGTGATCATCATTTGTGCCGTCATGTGCGTTGCCAGCTTTTTGATGCTACGTTTCTTTGGTCCTCAAGATGCTTTGGTCAAACATGAAGAAGAAGATGCACCAAGGATGAGTGGGTGGACTGCATTGGTGGATGGATATCTTTCGTATCTTCCCGAATTTTTCCACAATGTCCTACTTTGCGGTGTCGACTCGTACCGCTTGGCTCGTAAGCGCGCTGAGCTCCGTTCACGACGAAAACAAAAAGACATGTACTCTGCTGTAGATAATGGTAGTCAACATGCACTCTCCTCTGTTATGCACGAAAACAAGGATGTATTCAATGAAACTACTACCCCTTATCCTCCCTCTTCTAATGCTTACAGTCATCACGTGTAATAAATTTGATAAAGCATCCAAGTATATATATATCACTTTCTTCGCCTCGTAGCAACATAAAGATGAATCACCCTATATTGTTGGGGGTGGTAGGTTTGGTTGACACAAACCAGTGATGGGTGTGAACATAATTAAATTATGCATTATTTCGTGTGGGTAAGAAAATTGCGTGAGTACCCGTATGTGGTATGCGTTCTTTTTCCATGCACGTGCCTTTCCACGTGCATCGTCATCCTACCCTTTGCAATAGCCAAGCAGCGGTCGTTGTAGTAGATAATCTCTGTTGTCACTTTTGCATCTCCCCAATCTTTCATCAACTATCAAGGGACACTCAGTGATGGTATCTATGATGGTCAAGGTGGGTGTTGTTGGATAAGAGACTTATAGTACAGGGGATCTAAAAAGTTGGAAGGGACCGGGATCAAGATAATCATGTGATCGACCAACGTGAGAGCGCCCAACTTGTGTGTGTGCGGAGACAAGTTATGGACGAATAGGAACGTTGAAATCATTAGCAATATCAGCCATTCATCCAGTGTCATCTCCCCTTTTCTCTCTTTCTCTTACAAAATCTTCCAGTCACAAAGTCACGAGGTAATAATCTTGTACGTGTGGGTGTGATTGAATATATCCAGCAGTAACCCATTCTTTTCCACCAACCCACCCCTTTCCCCCCTGGATAATCCTCGAAACTCTTTCACTTGTTTGATGAACATCAGTTGTTATGAATAGCCCAAAATCCAAACAATCAAAGGTAAACCTTGTTTACTACTTGTGCGTATGACTCTCGAGTTGATACTCAACATTGGGAACTTTATTTGCAGGAACACGTCTCCAAGAAACAAGAACCCCAAAAGGAATCGACCACCGCTGCAGCACCTGCTTCTCCACAACCAGCAATGACGACTAAAAAGAACGACGCAACCTCTACTTTTAATGGCGATGCTGCTTCGTAAGTTGTTGGGTTTCGTGTTTGGGATGGATAAATGGGGAGCTGTATGGCTAATTCGAGACTGTAGCAAGCAGGCAACACGACGAACCAAGGCTTCTTCGCCATCTCAATGTGCATTGCAACCACAGGATGACAACAACAAGGAGGAAGTTGATGAGATTCAAGAGGATCTTGAGGAGGAGAGCCAACAAGTACCTTCGCCTGCTTCAAGTAGCAAAGAAAACAGCAATAACAACAACCGTAGCAGCACGACACCTGCCACTACATCTGAGGAAGCAACGACTAGTCAACAAGCAACGAATGATACAAATGGTGCAGCAGCTGATAAGCCAGCGGTGGGTTCTGCCGAGTGGCATCGTATTCGGCGAGAGAATCATAAGCAAGTGGAACGACGACGCCGAGAGACTATCAATGAAGGCATCAATGAAATAGCACGCATGGTACCTGGTTGTGAAAAGAATAAGGGTCAAATCTTGCATCGAGCAGCTCTCTATATCCAGCAACTCAAGGAAGCTGAATCCACCACATTGGAGAAATGGACTCTTGAAAAGCTCTTGACGGATCAGGCCATGAATGAACTTAATCGCCAGGTGGATGGCTTAAAGTCCGAGTTGGAACAAGCACGTCAAGAAATTGATCATTTGAAACGACAACTTGGAGACAAGGGCTCTACTCCACCAAGCAAACGTGCCAGATTAACCAAGGAAGAGAAGGAATGAACAAAAGGAATCCAATGGAACACAAAAAAGAACCACAAAAGAGAGAGTATATGTGAAAGAGGATCATCAAGAATCATTTTTTGAGACACGCAGAGAGAGAGAACCACACACACACACACAAGAAAGATTATCATCATCCACCATCACACTATGCTGTATACCCGCCTTATCCTACCCTCTTTCCACTTGATACGTTTTTTCCCTACTTGTCCCTTTCTTTCCTTTTTCACATGTCTCTTTCAGAATTATTTGCGTATAACAAAGTAAACTATCGGGTGAAAACACAAAAGCTTTTTTATATCTCTTGTCTTTTATCATCGATTGACACGTGCGTATTGTGGTTTCTCAAGTGTAATCTTAGGCATTGGATTTACCACATCATCAGGGACAACCATTCTACCCAAAGTGCTCTTGATCTCCTTGACTTCGATACCAGCTTCAGCGAGCTCTTGTCGCGCCTTTTCATCATCACTACTTGATTTCTTCTTGTTGTTGCTGCTGCTTCCGGTCACGAGTTTGCTAAATATGGATGATGACATGGAATTTCTAGGATTGCTTGTGCTGCTTCGATGATTGTCTATAGATCGAATAGAGGGAGGTTTACTTGAAGACTCGGAAAGAGAATGGGTCATAATTGGGAGTGGTGATGAATCTGAAGATCGTGTCTTTGCAATCGATGCTCGTCCAGATGACAACGAGCTATATTGACCAGAAGCCTTGGATACAGCGGTAGCCTTGGCAATGATCTCGGCAATGATTTCATCATCATTTGGTATCACGTGGCGGTTGTTGGGTTCATTTTGATTGGGTTCATTCATTGGCTCGGGTGATGATGTTGATATCCTTGCAGGTTGTGATGGTGATGATGATTGTGGTGCATCAACTTGAGCTGATTCTGATAATGATGGTACGGCTGTAGTGGTAGTGGTAGCGGCTGTAGGTGCTGCTGCTGCTGCTGCTGTAGTGGACACAACATCTGACATAGCATCATTGTTGGTGTTCTCGGGTTGATGAGGATTGCATTTGGTTTTTGGCGGTGGGTATTGAATGGAAGCCTTTCCAGACTTTAAGGAGGATACAGATGAACCTCGTGTCATGGTAGCAGGTCGAAAATTCTCGAGATCCTAGAAATGTAAATCCATAAGACACTCATCCCAAAATTTTATCAATGCCTTCTTTACCTTTGCACCTGATAAATCTAATTCGAATTCTTCTTCCTCTTCTTCCTCTTTGGTATCGCCTCCTGGAAGCTCCTCCGATGTAACAACAAAGCCGGCTCGTTTCAAAAGCATTGGCATGGCTTTTCGATAGCTCAAGTGACCCTTGATAAGATCCGAACAATCGATATTGTGTACATGATCACCTTCGATATCACGTAAAGGACGTAAACCAGCAACGTTACCCAAGCCTGCAGTGGATGCTCGAAACAGGAAACCCAAAAGCCAATCGTTGGTTGCATAGCCATTGACAAAGCGACCTGCTACCACTGATGTACACTCCTTCCATTGGGCTTTGGATGCATTGACAGGGGTGCCAAATAATGCAACATTCTCCACCAATCCATATGCATTAACCCGAGCTAATTCCAGCAAACAATAGAAGATGACACGTGCGCCGAGAGAATAGCCGACCAATGTCACAGGACGTGCGCCAAGGTTTCGATTCATAATGGAGTCAGCCAAGATTAAACCTGCTAAGCGAGCACGATCCAGACCATTATTCCATGGATTATCAACAAGGTAGCCGAGTTTGGTCAATGCTAACGGCCATGCAAGACCTGCAAGTAAGGCACCCATGATCGTATGCGCCAAAGCCTGCTGGATAGAAAAGGTCACCACTTCGGTTGCGAAAATCTTGAATGCGCTGCCGAGAGCTTCCAACATTTCTGGTTCCCAATACAAAGTATAGTGGTCGCCCATCATTGGATCGAGTACACTGAAAGGTAACGCTGCAAGATCCCTGTGTGCTTTCTTTGGTAGCCATCTAATTATAGTAGTGGTAGTAGTAGCAAAGATTAGCATGTATGATATCAAAAAAGGCAGTCATGTTGATGATGAAGGTACTTTACCCGGAAATACTAATGATACAATTAACCCGCTCATCAAGGCTCACAGGTGAAAATTCAAAGGTGTTGATTGTCTTCATTCGCCGTTTCATGCCTTTAGCACCCATACCTTTTTCAATAATGAAATTAGCACGTATGACAAGGAATAAAGAGAATGGTTGTTATAATTACCACTTCCGATGCCTGTGGCAGCACCAGTGATAAGAGCAATGCCTGTGGTACCACCTAAGAAACCACCAGCACCCGTGACACCAACTGTTGATAAAATGGTGCCAAGGCCGCCTGCAATAATGGGTGCCATCAATCCAGCACTGAGACCAAGAATTAAACCGCCACCAATGGTCGCTAATCCGATCATGACATAACGACGTTTACGGCGTTGCTTGTTGCGACTCGCTTTTTCTGAATCATTGCGTACGGAGATATCCATATCAGTGGTGGTTGTCATAGTGGTGGCAATGGTGGTCGCTGTTTCTGTTTCCCATGCGAGGCTTGCGTTGGTAATTAAATGGTCGGTGATGCGTTTCTCAAATCCAATCACTTGGATCCAGTCGAGTTCCAGGTACGACGCAACACGAGCAATAAAGACACGCGACCGGGCATCAAAAGTCTCGGATCCAAGGAATAACAGCAACAAGTCCGTCATCACCGTCCATCGTAAATCAATCACAAATTGTCCATTTTTCTTATCCTCGCTGGTATTTGGCTGCTCATTACTATGATAAGTGGTGCTGCTGCTATTGCTGCTGCTACTGCTACGTCCATGGTGTTCCGATAACCTTGCATCCAATGATCCTCCTTTGCCATCCACCGTCAATGCTGATGACTCGGTTGAACTCAACTTGGAAGTTGAAGAAGAGGAAGAGGAATGTCGAGGTTGTTGTTGTTGTTGTTGTTGATGATGATGATGCTGTTGCTGCTTAACTTCTTGAAATCCATCCATGTTGATTGTGGTTGTCTCGCCTTGAGCTGTGAATTGATGCACAAGATCACTTGGTAAAATATTATGCTTCGATAGGGATTCAATCATTGTAATCTCTAAAGATGAATCTTAGTATACCATAGAAGTGTGTATCCATGGCAACGGAAATACCTTCGGATGAAATGCCCATATGCATATAAATAGTCCTCATGAGCTTGCGTTGCCAATTGTCAGCACTCATTCGAGCGTATGTGAATTCCTTTCCTTTGTGATCATGGACGACTTCAAGGCTTGTAAGAGCACATAGACCCACATAGGCCACCTTTTGAGTTTCAGTAAAGATGTCCTTTGTTTCTTGGATGCGAGGTTCATTTGTATCATTCTCGGCGGAAGGCTGAAGTTCAAAAATATGAGAGGGTCCAGTGGCGATGGGTTGTACATTGTCAGGGACTTGCGGTAGATTAGCCGCCCAAGCCCGAATAGAAGAAGAAGAGTGTTGTTGTTCTTCATCATGTTGCATGATTTGATGTTGTTGTTGCTCCAATGTTTCTTGAGTGAGTGGTGCTGATGTATTAAGGACAAGTGATGGTGTTACTCGATTCTCATCTGGTGTTACAACCTCTCTCTCGCATGAGTTATCATCTGCTGTCGCTCCAGAGCTAGTTGAAATTACTTCACTGGTGGTAGTGCAAATGGGCTCAGCTGCTGCTGATGCTGATACTGGTGCTGTTGCTGCTGTGATTGACAGGTTGGCAGGGGAATCATCGGGTTCCGTTACACTCGTTGGTTGCTGCTGCTCCTTAATAAGGTTGCTGTCAGGCAATGACGGTGTCTCATAGGCATCTTGAATGGCGGGAGGGTCATCATGCCGGGCCAATGATGAGCAAGGGTCTTGCATGTTGATAGGCGATGTCAAGTTGAATGAGAAACGGAAGACAATGGGGATAAAGGAAGAGCGGATTTGATTGTGGGATAAGGAGGAGGAAGTGTGAGTGGATAAGGAAAGAGTGGAAGGTGAGGAGAAAAGAGATAACTCGAGATGTACACAATTTCTCGGAAACAAATGTTGGTTACAAGGCCAACGGTTTCTGGTGGAGATGGCACGTTACACACAACGTTCGAAGTCAGTAAGTCGATCACTTGGCAATACCAAAAAGTTGTAGCCCCTGCATTGTATAGATATACAAGTGTAATCTCTCACGCTAAAACTTATCATGCTGTACAAGTATATAAAGGGCTCGATCCATAACATCATTTGATAACATATCATTGTGCATCAAAGTCATATATCACTTCTATTGATTGTCCCAATATTTGTTGTAGTACAGTCGATCTTGTGTGCGTGTTGACCACCCATCCAAAAGCCAGATGCCTGGGAGACCCCATCACCCTTGTCTCAATAAAATCCAATTTTTAATAGTTTCCTTATGCATGACAAGAGCACATATCCTTTAAACACACAAATTTGGTTGTTGCCCATATTGTTTGCTATCAACCTTTTATTGGTGATATCATTGACATCATTACATCCCTCCGAGTGATACGACAACGACAACCATGTGATTTGAAATCCGTGCACACCCATATGCAATCCATATCCATATCCAACTTTCCACTCATTCGATCACTGTTGTATACGCGGTGTTGATCGGTGATCGGTTTCAATTGTAATCGATATTTCTCTTAAGAACATCCATCATTCCACTCATTCGATTCGTGATATACATGACATGTTGTATTTGTATGGTAATAACTGTACAATCTTCTACTTTCTCTTGACCGAAGCACGCTTGCCCTGACCTATAATAATGCACACAATGAATGAATGAATGAATGAATGAATGAAGCCTATTTTTTGTGTCAACAACTTACCCTTCTTGGGTGCACCTTTTCCTCTTCGCTTTCTTCTGGCAATCTCATCCAAACGAGCCTTCTCTTCCATATCAACAAGGTTGAGGGATGGGTACAACGCCTTAATGTCGCGGAAGTGAACAAGCTTTTGAGGATTGTATGCTGTCATTGTGGGACCGACTAATCGCTGTCGAAGCACCTTGTTGCCGGTTCGTGCAGCTGTTGGGTTATATACATTCTGGAAGATTTTGCAAGACAATTGAGCGAGTTGGGCCAATCGTGCTGGTTGGGCAGCTCCAGGAGTGGCCATGGTGATGTATGCTTTGTTGACAAGGAAGAGGAGCAAGAAAAGCCACGGTGCCAGCGGATTTCATTGGCTCACCTAAACATTCACCAAAGCCTAATCCCGCACGCATTCACAGGACCTGATTTTCATACCAGCATGTCAAGTCATCCATTCTTTTTTTTCCCATCATTGATATCAACAATAAAATGATAACATTGCGGCATTGCTGCATAGTGATCTACCTTCAAGAGAAAAAATAATGACGCACGTGGCACATTAAGATTTAGTGCCTTCGCTTTTGAATGCACGCGCATACACGCTCCTTTTAGGAGGGAACTCATTTCATTTGGAACTGTGTCAAGATTCCGTTGCTTTTCCCCTCACTCTTTTCTCTTCTTCCTTTTGTCGCTTTGTCTCATTTACATATACACACATAGCGTACCATGAACCCAGGGCTATTGGAATCGGTAGTATCACTCAAACACGATGATGAAGAGCAACGCTTTAGGATACTACGATCCAAGTATCTATCAGTCTACCTTGTTGTCATGGGTAACAAACAATTTCCTAGCAACGCCATTAATGCATGTAATACTAAATCTCATATAAAATAGGGGCTGATTGGCTTCAAGGACCCTACCTCTATAAGCTATACCAATCATCATATGGTCTAGATCTTGTACAAATTGCTTCGCTGTTTCTAACAGGCTTCATGAGCGGGGCCATTGCCGGCACACTTGTCAGTAGTACAGCTGATACATGGTATGGATACATCGTATTGACTATTGCTGATCTTACAAAGAGAGCATTTTCTATAGCGGCCGGCGGAGGGTATGCGTTGTCTTTTGCGCCACAGCGATCCTCGCTTTAAGTTTGCGGCTTGTCCAACCCACCTTTCCCTATTTGGTCTTGTCACACATCTTGTCTGGCATGGCATCATCAATGCAACATAGTGTTTTGGAAGCTTGGTATGTTGCAGAGCATCACACACAACTTCTCCCTTCCGAATGGGTGGCACGAACATTTGCCACAGGTGCCTTCTTAAATGGTATCGTGGCTATTCTCGCAGGCATGGTCGCCAATGCTGTTGTAGATACATGGGGTCTTTGGGCACCTTTTGCATTGGCAATCATGCTTTTGGCAATAGCTGGTTCCATGGTGATGGCAACGTGGCAAGAAAATTTCGGCAGAAGCAAGGGTGGTAGTAGTATTCAAGTCATGGATACCCTGGTAGAGGGGTTGCACGTATTGTGGAATGGTAAGTCTCATGTATGCTGCAAATGGGTTCATCATGTGATAGTTGATGATTTTGCCTATTTGACAGATTCCAACATCCTGATACTCGGTGCAGCGCAGACCGTTTTTGAATGTGCCATGTACATCTTTGTACTTTTGTACACACCAGCTATCGAGAATGTACACGCTTTTCTTCTTGGTAAGAGAGTTATCGTAGGCTCATCGTATGCTTTAAGGTAAAGATGTTTACACAAGGTTAAATGTAGAACAAGGTCACCAGCATCATGATCTGCCTTTGGGGTATCTCTTTTCGACAATGATGTTTGCCATTATGGTGGGATCCTTGACTTTCCAAAAGCTTGAAAGAAGGCCGATGTTTGCTAATCACAAGGAGCGCCTATTGATACCCGCACTTGGATGTGCAAGTATATCATTCGCAGTGATGGCATATGATCACGCTACCTCGGTAAGGTTTTATAGAGTATACCCTTGTGTGGAGAAAGAAATCTTATTTTATCCGGAATGGGATTAATAGCTTCCGATACTTCTCGTGGCGTATCACATATTTGAATTCACGACGGGGTTATTTCATCCGTCGCTTTCATCACTGAAGGCTGATGTGATCCCCGAAGAGACACGTGCCGTGGTGATGACAATGTTAAGGATCCCTATGAATATTGGAGTTGGCCTTGCAATGTGGCATGTAAGTTTGATGATGAATAGGGCTGCAAGTAGTAGTAGACGCTAATAAGCATTTATTGAATTAGGCTGATACGGTGCCTATTGACTATCATTTCGCCATCTGTGCGCTGATAACCCTATTTGGATGTATCCTGGTTGGTGCATGTTATCAACCACCCAAGACAACAACAATTGCATGAATAGACCCCTTCATTACAAAAGGATGTGAATTTCAAATCTGGCCATGTGATGCATATTTGGATTCTCTCTCTTTAAGATGATCAACGCCATCACCATCATCATCATCATCACTATTATCTTTGTAGTAGAGTAGTATTATTACATGTACACTGATAGAATCATCCAATCGGGGGGTTGCTTCGTATCGTCGTATCGGATCTGAAAATGACACAAGGATCCGTTTTCCCCATTGGGCAAATGACAATCCCTGACTCACACCACCCAGCGATTTTCTTTGATCGAATTCGATGTGTTCTTAAATGATAAAGACAGTTGAACCAGGCTTGCAGTTTTTCTTTTCCCGCCTGTGTTTTGTTTCTCTCTCTCTCTCTTTCTCTCTCTTTCTTTTCATCAACCATCCCCTCTCTATGCCACTTGCTACCACGCCGTCGTTCCATAATACACCAGACTTGCCTTGGGTCGTTCAAAAGTTTGGCGGTACCAGCATTGGCAAATTCTTAGACAACATTGCCAATCAAGTCATCAAGTATGCACGATCGCGTTGTTGAATTCCAGGTCTTTTGTTGACACAGAGATACTTTCATAGGGAATACGTCAAGGTCAATCGACTTGTCGTCGTTTGTTCAGCACGTAGCGGCCAAAGCAAGCAAACAGGCACCACCAATCGACTCATTCGTGCAGCTGATGATGCTTTACGACCTGGATCATCCGAATACATCAGCATTTTGAACGACTTGTTGGAAGATCATTTGAAGGTGGCGGAAGAATTGGTCCAAAACATTGAAATCAAGGAGCAATTGAAAAAAGACATCGAGCATGATTGCGCCAAACTCAAATCATTCTTGGAGGCGGCACAGATTATCAATGAGATTTCTCCTCGCTCCCGAGATATCATCATCGGGGTTGGTGAAAAGTTATCGTGCAGAATTGTAGCTGCTGTGTTACAAGATCGGGTAAGAAGGAAAAAGGGAATTTTACATGGGAATCACATGTACTAACATGGGATAATTAGGACGTGGATGCAGCTTTTGTATCATTTGAAAACATCATCGATCGTGAATTTGAGGTGCTTGATCAACGTTTCTATGACTACTTATCTCAACGCATGGCTGAAAAGGTCAATGAATGTGGTAACAAAGTCCCAGTCGTCACTGGTAAGTAATAGAAATTGTACGATAGCGTATTTATACTAATTGTATTATAATAATAGGCTTCTTTGGTATTGTTCCTGGTAGTTTATTGAATACGGTGGGTCGTGGTTACACCGATCTTTGTGCAGCTCTTACGGCGGTTGGTCTGGGCGCTGAGGAACTCCAAATTTGGAAAGAGGTGGATGGTATTTTCACAGCTGACCCACGCAAGGTGAAGGGTGCACGATTGTTATCCATCATCACTCCAGAAGAAGCTTCCGAGTTGACCTATTATGGCTCCGAAGTCATTCATCCTTTCACCATGGAACAAGTCATTCGTGCACATATCCCTATTCGTATCAAGAATGTCCAAAATCCCCGCGGCCAAGGCACTGTTGTATTCCCCACCGATGTTGTATCAAAGGATGGCACTTCTACCCCTCCTCATTCACCCAAAGTACTCGCTGAAAATGGATACCACCTTGACTTGTCACGCAAGTACCCTACAGCAGTCACCATCAAGGATAATGTCATTGTACTCAACGTCCATTCAAATCGCAAGAGTGTCAGCCATGGCTTTTTCGCAAAGATCTTTTCCACCCTTGATCGATATGGTGTTGTAGTCGATCTCATTTCTACATCCGAAGTACACGTATCAATGGCATTGGGTGTTGATAGTGCAGAGAAGGATTTACAACGTGTCATTGAAGATTTACGCACCGTTGGACGGGTAAGCATTCGATACTTATCGATCATGATAATGGGATCAAGCCATACTCATAATCTTTCGTTGATAGGTTGACGTACTCAAGAGCATGGCTATTTTGTCATTAGTGGGCAAGCAAATGAAGAACATGGTTGGTATTGCCGGCATGATGTTTACTACGCTTGCATCAGCTGGCGTCAACATTGAAATGATCTCTCAAGGTGCTTCAGAAATCAACATTTCTTGTGTCATCGACGAAAGTTCAGCGATCACGGCCATGAATGTCATCCACGATCAATTGCTAGACAAAAAGTCAGCTGTGGTGTTGCCTGCTCTTAGTGCATCACAAACATCTGTGCTTTTCGATTAGATTTACTTGCTTATATATCCCCCCCACTTTTTCATCATTCTCATGTCATCATTTTGCTCTCATCCCATGCTCTATCCTCGTCATTGTAATTACTATAGTCCCTACTTGCCGTTATTATCTCAAAAGATAAAAAGTTGATTTGCTATTTACCCTATCCATTACCATCATCATATGCAACAAGTTATAAGCGCTTTTTGGTTGCTTCACCATCCACTATAACTTTTATAGGACGCCATCATACAATATATTACACATACAGAATTCAAGGTGGGGGACGTGGTATACATCTAGTTTGATCGACCAATTCGTGTACTGAGGTAGCCAGCTACGCCTGCCATGACGGCACCAAACCGAAGTACAATGGCAATGGTGCTAGGAGAGGCTTCTTCGCTTTTGGATGATCCATTCTCCAAAAAGTGAAATATGATGCTGCTGAGAAAAGTGACCAGGAATTGAGGCATGACAATGTACATGTTATGAATGCCGAGTAATACACCAGCTGATGGCGTGGATGATGAATGCGTTGCATTTGAATCCAAGTTGTTGTTGTTGTGTTCCTGATCCATACGTGATGTCAACATGATAGCATGCTCATCTTCATCGTCGACCTGATTGGATTGGATGTCATTGGATGAAGAGGGTTGTTCTCTGTCCATGGATGGTAACGAATGCCTTGATTGTCTCTTAGATGTCGATTGTTGCATTTCGATTCCTGCATCGGTTTCTTCGGGCTCCGAATCCAATTCTTGTTCTACCAATTGATATATTCCGCCTTCAGTTCCCAATCCTGCACCTCCAGCAGCTAGACTAAGCTTCGATGACATAGCCATAGGATGCATTGCCAAATGATTCTCGTCGTCGTCATTGCCATCACCCATATGTTGTTGGTGTTGCTTGGCATCTTCCATCTCCGAAATATATTCGCCCAAGAGAGAAAATGGAGCCCACATCGTCATGGACCAACTTATTCCGCAAACACCAATAACGATCGATGCACCAGCCACATTGTTGACAAAAAAGGTCGAGAACATGGCAATAAGAAAGATGAAATGACTGGCAGTCCAAGCTCGCTGAAGGTTGAGAAATTTGATCTTGAGGTATTTGGATGGTGTAATAGTGTACGTCTTTCCTCGAATACAAAGTTGGAAACTAGGAGCCGTTTTCTTCTGATCCTCATCGTAAGAAGGGGTGACAATCAAAGGTAAAACAAAGGATGCACCAAGCGATACAAGCGAATAAACCAGGAATGCAAATGATCCGGCGCGTGTTGCTTGACCGACAGCATCCGATGTACCATCATCGCCACCACTACCATCCAATGCCGCTTCGTCGTATATCTCGGCGACCCATGTTGTTGAATAAAATAGAAATGGGAACCATCCAAACCATGCGAAAAATTGAACGTTGCAAATGCGTCGTATTGGTGTAGGTAAGTTCCAGATATTGGTGGTGATAGCAGTGATCGCTTTGAAAGATGATCCCCATGACTTTTTCTTCCTATTATTCGAAATCAGCAATGTATAAAGAAAGACCACTAACATCTATAATAACTTACTCTGGTTCCTTTGTCAAGATTTTCTCTGACACGGTATAGCATGTGATAGCATCCGCCAATGCAAGAACAATCGCCGCAATAACACAAAGAACCTTCAATTGGGTATCTCCAAAGAAAGGAAATGCTTTCACCAAATCCGCATAGCCCCTGAGGGTTGTTATTGCATGTCAATTTTCATATGAAGTGTGACCCATTAGCCCGTCATTGAACTTACATGAAATAACCAGCCACGTTCCCCAGACCAACCATTTTTCCAGCCCACGCTGTACCATCTTCTTGTTGTGAAGGAGGAAGAGCATCGACAAGGAGAGCTCGACAAGATGCTTGTACTGTGCCATGACATTAGCTATACAATTGACGACTCGTATCCAATGACACTTACCACAGTTGATACTAAAGTCAAGCACATAGATTGATGTGATAGCGATGGCAATGGATACAATCTTAAACTGGAATCGATGGGATTAGCGTATATGTATTGATATACATGATTCTTCAAGTCCTTACCGTTTCACCATCCTGACTTGCAGTGAAAAGAGAAGTGATTTCTCTAGTCCATCCAATCACCAATAGACTAAAAATGACCACAATGCTTCCAAGGACAAGGAATGGACGCCGTCGACCAAAGCGTGATGTGCATCGATCTGATAAAACACCCACGATAGGTTGCATCAACAAGCCTATATGATATTTCTCGGTTAAGATCATATCATACTCCAAAGTACACCCATAAAAGTACCTGATAATGGTCCTGCAATCCATACAAGCGACATGACCGACTTGGTCAATCCAAGTGACAACAAATAAGGAGTTCCTACAAAGATGCCATTGTTACACGAGCCAATTCATTGCTTCTTCCTCATTCTTTGTCTTACCATACGCCATTTCTACCGTCCCTTTGAATCAAATTCTACTTAGCTTCATTCATCATCCTCATTGTAAAAGAAACAAAGAAACCTACATGTAAATTGTAATCTGCACGTGCAAAAGCATATTCTCGATGAGCGTTTTGCATGATTCGGACTTGTATAGCCTTACCCCGCCAAGCATATCGTCAAAAAGATGATTTTGCATATGGTATTCGGTCCTTTGATGTGTGTATTGCCTTTGAGAAGTTGTTGGGTATAAGGTTGTCGTTGTAACATGGGGTCCGAATCGTGGTAAAGAAAATCGTCGTCGTCTTCACTCATGTCGTGTGGCGAGATTGGTAGTGGTGTGTCAGGCCCATGACTGTTGACATGGGGTAATGAGGTTGAAGGAGTCGGCATGCGGGATGAATCAGACCCATCTCGGGGTGTTGACCGAGACGACATTATACGAGTATTGCCACGAGGGTAGTAAAAAGAAGGAAAAGATGGTCTGGGCAATCCAACGCCCAAATCTGGGATTGGCTAGCGCACCCAAAAGAAATTCACTTGAATCCCCGGCAGTAATGCTTATTCATGCTGGTCCATATTCTCCCCCATCCAAAACGGATTGTCTTTCATTCGGCACAGTCAAACAAGGACCCTTTGGCATTCATATCCACATATTTATACCAATTGTACATTAGCCATGCCATACACAAAGCTCGATCATCATTGAAGTAGCTTGGTGGAAGGGGTGTCAAGTAAGAGCATAAGGCTGGCCACACTGTCGCATGTAAATCATAGCTTCCAAAGGTGCTTCACAGCAGCCAAAGGCAAGGCACCATCTTGCTTTACCCATAGGAAACAGGCATTCACCATATCACTAGCTGCTGCTATCAAACGACCTTCTTGGGTTGGCGTCATAGACACATCATGCATCACGAATAAACCAGGTCTTGAGAAATGGCACACGTGAGAACATCGGCTCCAAGACAAACATCCAAGGCGCCCGTCAGTCACTTTACAAATGAAGCCATCCAACTGGGAGTTGAAGAGAACCGCTATGGCACTGATAATAGACCCTGATGATGATCCACCCATATAAAACCGAATTGTAGGTAGCTATTCTCCTGAGCATAGAAACGATACTTGACAGCTCCAATCATAGGGTGATCCAATAATTTGATGCTCAAAAAGATCGCTTGCTCGTTGCAGAGAAATCCACCCAAAGACGCAGGTTGATAGTCGTCTTTCAAAGCAATAGGACTCGGCAATAACAAGGAGACCAAAAAAAACCTGGCGATGATGGAGCCTATACTTGGTAGTCCGCCGCACGAACAGAGGATGTCATGCTTAGATTGAGATGGCGCCGATTCCCGCTAACACAGCATGGCCGCTTCTTGCGTACAATGACATCCTTGACTTGCCGCCGTGATACAATGATACAGTCGGAAGAGATCCTGCCATTCTGTTTCTTTCATAAGTTCACTTGAATGTGACAAATTCAAGCATGAACACTTTTACCTTGGGTATTCCTCAATAGCATCCTTTCTTCAAATGATCGCTCCTCCATCCCATCCATATTGTGCTGCTGCTGTTTCATTGTAGGACACGTTAATCACCATGTCTTGCTTTGTAGATCCATGCTATGCGTACCAATTAAGCAATGTCCTGCGTTCTTTGCTTTGAAATCAATCTCTTGTTATAACCACAGGTACCACCATCATCCAACATGTTTAAACTACCATAAACTCAATGTGAGATAACAAAAACAGCATTCGCTTTCGTGTCAACATACCCAAAGCAGCAATGTAAAGACGTGTTCCTTGTATACACACGATACCCCTTTGGATCTTGTACAACCAGAGAACAGCAACCTATATGTAACTTTAGTATCTCAACGTCCAACTTGAATAATAAAGTAATGCAGCGATTGAACGTACATGTTGTATTGCAATGGAGGCTTGACTTATGGGTAGATCGCCCTCGTACTTGTGAACGTCCAAGGTATCCATACAAGTACTTGAGGAAGGAGATCCGCCATGGCACCGATAAAAACATTGCTATGAAGATCCACCGATAAAGAGACGACTTGCAGGTAGCTGATTCCCAAAACCATGGAAACGGTATCCTTGACAACCACAACTATAAGATACAGATCGCTTGCTTGCTTCTGAGAAACCCACCCAAATTCAAATGTTGATCTTCGACTTTCAATGCAATAGGATTCGCCACTGACAACTGTAAGGAGACCAAATGGATTCTCATGGCGCCAAAGAGCATGCGAAAATATAGCTTGATGGAATGATGGGCCTATAAAAATGCATATCACTAATTTATCTCTGAAGTAATGGTAACAATACTTAGCCGGTGTCCTATGAGAATCCACGATGTTTGATGCCACCCAGTAATCAGAACACATTTCCTTGCTGTAGAGATGTCGACACAGTGACCAATCCTGATAGCCGTTTCTCCAAGGGATACTTGATGATGAATGCCATGAGAGATGGATACACCTTGGCAGCACCAAAAGGGCACGTAACATTGTTGTTTGTTGCTGATGTGATACATCCATAAGATACGTGCGGTGAAGAGGGCTCTTGAAATCAATTGGCCAATAACGAGAACACCAGAGGATCAAATAAATGTTGTTGACACTAAAGATGTGGGCTCTGTTGCTCATTGCTGCTTCTTGCTTGTGGCTGATATGATCCACCGATAACAGGCATGCGTAGCAGGATATCCATTGAAAGGGTTGTCAACAACTAGGACCACAATAAAACGAGATAAAACTTGGCGACACCAAAAGGTATAGAACTTGTTGCCTTGCCGCTGCAGATGCAAATAAAAGGAAGTGTCCAATAGGTGGTACAGTAACGAAAACCATCGAACGATGTAATAAGGCAAGCTGACACTGAAGGATGCTATAGACGTTGCTCTTTGACCCTGGCATGATTCGCCTATAAACGATGTACGGTAAACACTTTCCCGAATACATAGAACGATACTTAGCAATGATACCTGCATCCATGAATATTCCAAAGGGCCAAATTACATGTAGTTTGCTGAATAGCACACATACTATAATAAAAGAGGGGGTTGGTTGGGTTGGAGCCAAAAAACGGGTCATCCACTATTTACCAATGAAAGCCACATGAATAAAACCTTGTCGACATCCAATGATAGCTGCATCCATCAAGAATCCAAAGGGAACAAGACAAGTAGCTCGCTGAATAACCCACATGAAAGAGGGTGTTAGTAGGCATTGAAAGAAAGAATGTATTATTATTTACCAATGCCAGCTTCATGTATGAAAATCCCAAAGGACCAAACGACAAGTAGCTTGATGAATAGCCCACATGCTAAGATAAAAGCGGAGGTTGGCAGGCGTTGTAGAACGAATGGATCAGCAATTACCAATGATATCCATATGCACGAAAACACGTTGACATCCAATGACAGCTGCACCCATAGAAATCCCAATGCTCCAGAAGATAAGTAGCTTGCTGAATAGCCCGCATACTATAATAGAAGAGGAGGTTGATTGGGATCGGAGCCAAAACACGGATCATCCACTATTTACCAATGATAGCCATACGAACGAAAACATGTTGACATCCAATGACAGCTGCATCCATAAAAATCCCAATGCACCAGAAGACAAGTAGATTGCTGAATAGTCCGCGCACTATAATAAAAGAGGATGTTGGTTGGGATTGGAGCTAAAAAACGGATCATCCTCTATTTACCAATGATAGCCATATGCACGAAATCCTGCTGATATCCAAATCAAGCCGATTCTTTGCAATCGTCCGCTTGTTGATAAGGCCCGCTACAGTGGCACTCGGCTTGAAAGCGATGGAACGATACTTTATGGGCATATGCAGTGAGAAGGTTGAGTAATATTGATACCACCAAAGAGAGCATACTCACATGATTCCGAAGAGCCCTTACAAAGAGAGACAACGAGACAATCCTTGCTGCCCAAGACCACATGCAAATCGAGAAAGCATTGTGCATCGAAAAGCCCAAACCAGATCCTAGCTGCGGAGTGACGTACATATGGCTAAAGAGCGATGTGAATGGCAATCGTTTTTCATTGGAAATCGAATGCAGCTTGACGATGAATGCCTTGAGGAGATGCATAAATGACCTTGGTAACACCAAAGATGTCAACGCGGACTCTCATTGCTTGTTGATGACATTATCCATCCATAAGACGCGTATAGTTGTAGAGATCCATCAAAGGAATTGCCGATAATCAGAACCACGAGATGATCGAAAGCTTGCTGACGCCAAAGGTATAAACCTGCTCCTTGTTGCTGACATGATCGATCGATAAGGGACCTTTGTTTCAGGAGGTTCACCAAATTGCAGGTAATGGGAAGCACCAGATGGATGATGGGATGAGGGTTGATATGGCACCGAAGATATGCATGCTGTTGTTTGTTGCTGATACAATCCACTCACAAGAGACTTGCATTGGCGGACACTCTTCAGAGAAATCGCCCGTTGCTTGGTAACCAACCACCCGAGACGCAATAAAGGTTGACACCCCCAAAAGACATAAACGCTTCCCTATGGCTGACATGATTCACCTATAAATATGCACCATAAACAATTGTCCCAACTCATCCAACAATACTTAGCAATTCATAGCTGTGATCTTGTAAACGTCAAAGCACCAAAAGACAAGCAGCTCTCTGCAATGGTCCCTCTAAATAATGGTAGGCGTTTCAGCAAAGGTCCCCAAAAAGCATGAGAGTCATACATACCTGAATCACGCAATCACCACCCGCAGACTTGGAACCAAATAGGCCATCAGGATGTAAAGTAATAATAAAAGCGCTCAGCCAAAGAAACATCATAGTATCAGTACTCTCCTGTGGATCGACGCGATGAAGTGCATCAATAGAGATACCCATCTTCTCCCTAAAGACAAGGAGATCAATAACCGTAAAACGATGGAGCCGTGCGAACAGAGGATGCATTTTTAAATCCCTGAGGCCGCAACATGAGTCGCACTGTCCCCGGGCACAACATGTAGAGCTCCACAGGAAAGTGTAGTACAATGACGTCCTTGACGTGCAGCCTTGATGATAATAGTATTGCCGGAAGAGGGTCTGCCACTGTATGGTGTTTGGTAAGTTCACTTGAATCCAACCAATCCCACAATGATGCACTGTACCTTGAGGTATTCATCAATGGCATCATTGCCTCAAATAAAACCGTATCTTCATGTCATTCATATAGTCTTGCTGCTGTTTCACTGTAAGTCTCGTTAATTAACAGGTTTTGCTTTGTAGATCTAATACCATACATACCATTGAGCCAACCATGCAGCATTCTTGCTTTGAGATCCGTATCCTGTTGCTGCCAGAGGTACCATCATCCAACATGTTCACCTACCATAAACGCAATGTGAGATAAGAAGCAAACCCAATCCACACGCTTTTGTTGTCAGC